GCTGGTACTCAGTGTTGGGCTGCGTGCAGCCCAGTTGCAGGATGCACTGCGTACTGGAACCCAATGCGTGGTGCTGGCTGCGGGATGCATGGAGCCCAGTGCACGGTGCTCGATGCAAACGATGCCCAGAGCCTGGTACCACCTACAGGGTGCCCGGCACCCATGGTGGGGGCCCAGTTCTGGGTGCATGGTGCCAATTGCATGGTGCCAGTACTCGGTACCGGCCATAGGATGCCCTATAAGTTGTAGGGTGCCCGGTTCTGACTGCAGGGTGCCCAGTTTCAGCTGTAGGGTGACCTGTAGCACCCTAAGGTGCCCGGTTCCAGCCATAGGGTGCCTGGTTCCGGTTGTAGGGTGACCCATACCATTCTAAGGTGCCCGGTTCCAGCCATAGGGTGCCTGGTTCTGGCCATAGGGTGCCCGGTTCCGGCCATAGGGTGCCCGGTTCCGGCCATAGGGTGCCCGGTTCCGGCCATAGGGTGCCTGGTTCCGGCCATAGGGTGCCCGGTTCTGGCCATAGGGTGCCCGGTTCCGGCCATAGGGTGCCTGGTTCTGGCCATAGGGTGCCTGGTTCCGGCCATAGGGTGCCCGGTTCCGGCCATAGGGTGCCCGGTTCTGGCCATAGGGTGCCCGGTTCCGGCCATAGGGTGCCTGGTTCTGGCCATAGGGTGCCCGGTTCTGGCTGTAGGGTGACCCATAGCACCATAGGGTGCCCGGTTCCGGCCTTTGGGCGCCCGGTTCCGGCCACGGCGTGCCGGCTGCCCGTCTCCCAGCGCGCAGTGCCGCCCATAGGGTGCCCGGTTCGGGCGGTCCGGTGCCGGTGCCCGGTGACTGCAGGCCCGCTCCCCGCCGCTCGGCGCGCCGCTTCCTGCTTTCTAATGTTCCATTGTGCGGAGCTTCCATTGTGACGCGCGGGGCTCGGCGCGGCTTTGTCTGTCCATATATGGGCAGCTACGTCACGGAGCGCTCCCGCCGCCCGCATAAATGGGCCGCGGAGTCCCCGGCGGAGCAGTCGGGAACCCGGAGCGGAGCGGGAGCGGCGGCGGAGCGATCGGGAGGGGTTAAAATCCTCCCCCCCCCTCCCCCCCCCCCAACACCCAACCCCTCGCTCCGCTACGGGCGCAGCTGCCGGGCGGCCCTCCCCCCCCCGCGCCCCCCCCCCGAGGAAACACCATCGCCGCCGCCACCGCCGCGTGGGGGGGGGACCCACGCGAGACCTCCCCCCGCAGCCCCACGCAGGACCCCCCCCCCGCACGCCCCAACTTTATTTATATTCCCCCCCCCCCCACCCCCATATTTTTTTTTCCTTTTTTTTTTTTCCCTTTTTTTTTTTTTTTTTTTTTTTTTTCCGTGCATGATTTCCCCGGCGCCGATCCGCCGCTCGGATGTCGTTCGCTGGGGAGCGGAGCTGATCCGACCTTTTCCTCCGATGCTATGACCGGGAAACTGCTGGAGAAGCTGCCGGGGACGATGAGCACTTTGCTGAACCAACTGCCCGACTCTCTGTACCCGGAGGAGATCCCCAACTCTTTGAATCTCTTCTCCGGCGGCGGCGGAGGAGGCGATCCGGTGCCTCACTACAACCAGATGGCTGCAGGTGACGGGGGTTTGGGGGGGGGATGCGGGAAAAGGGGCCGGGGGGCGGCGTGTGTGTGCGCTGGGGGGGGAAGGGAAGAGCCGGGGATGGGGAGCGGCCCCCCCCCCCCCCGCCCCCACGCGTGACCGCCCACCCACCCGCTTTGCTCGCTGTGTCTCCTCCGCGCTGCGGGAGCGCCGCGCTCAGCCCGAACCTCCGCCGCAGGTACCGGGGAGGGGGGCACGCACGCATGCCGAGGGCAGCTCCTCAACCCCCCCACGCCCCCCGGAGCGAGGGGTCCGCGCCTCCTCGGACGCGCGTGGCCGTGGGCTCCCACCCTCCTTTCGGCTCCCGCCCTCCTTTCGGCGGCGATGCGGGGGGTTTTGGACACGCGGGCTGCCGGCCGCCCCCCATCCCCCCCCCCCCTCCCCAACAACCGCCCCCTCCGAGCGGGGATCCGCGTGGGCGCGGGGCGCCGCGGACACTCGCGGCCGTGGGCTCCCACCCACCCGGCGGCGGCGGCTCGGGGGCCCCGCGGGAGCCTCCCCCGGAGCTCGGGACTGCGGGAGGGGATGGGGGGGGCACAAAGCCTCTCTCGTTTCTCGCCTCCGGCGCTCGGGGCCGAGAGTTTGACGCGCGCAGGGCTCCAACCCGCCGGTCGGGGTCGGCGAAGCGCAGCTGGGGACGCGGAGCTCCGCTGCGCTCCCCCCCCGGCACGGAGCCCACCTGGACCGCGGGGCTCCCCACCCCTGTGGGGCCGCGGGGGCGGCAGCGCCGCTCCGTGTGCCGGCACCGGCACCGCGCACGGCCGCGAGCGGAGCCCCACGGAGGCGGCCGAGGGGAGAGAGGGGGGATTTAGCGAGAGCGCGGAGGGTGGGGGCCCGCGCAGCGCCGTCCCCGCCCGGCTCACCCTGCCCCGCTTCTCTCCGCAGACAATGTGATGGACATTGGCATCGGGAACGAAAAGCCCAGCCAGGAATTGTCGTCCTATTCGGGGACGTTCCAGCCGGCCGCGGGCAACAAAACCGTCACCTACCTGGGGAAGTTCGCCTTCGATTCGCCCTCCAACTGGTGCCAGGATAACATCATCAGCCTGATGAGCGCCGGCATCCTGGGGGTGCCGCCGGCCGCGGGGACGCTGAGCGGGACGCAGAGCTCGGGGGGCGGAATGGGGGCACCTCCGCAGGGCGACGTGGACCAGATGTACCCCGCGCTGCCGCCCTACTCCTCCTGCAGCGACCTCTACCCGGAGCCCGTCTCCTTCCACGACCCGCAGAGCAACGCCGGCCTCACCTATTCCCCGCAGGATTACCAAGCGGCCAAACCCGCCCTGGACAGCAACCTGTTCCCCATGATCCCAGACTATAACCTCTACCACCACCCCAACGAGATGGGCGCCATCACGGAGCACAAACCCTTCCAGAGCTTGGACCCCATCCGCGTCAACCCGCCGCCCATCACCCCGCTGGAGACCATCAAGGCCTTCAAGGACAAGCAGATCCACCCGGGCTTCGGGGGGCTCCCGCAACCCCCGCTGACCCTAAAACCCATCCGGCCCCGCAAATACCCCAACCGGCCCAGCAAAACCCCGCTGCACGAGCGGCCCCACGCCTGCCCGGCCGAGGGCTGCGACCGCCGCTTCTCGCGTTCCGACGAGCTCACCCGGCACCTGCGCATCCACACGGGCCACAAACCCTTCCAGTGCCGCATCTGCATGCGCAGCTTCAGCCGCAGCGACCACCTCACCACCCACATCCGCACCCACACCGGCGAGAAGCCCTTCGCCTGCGAGTTCTGCGGCCGCAAATTCGCCCGCTCCGACGAGCGCAAGCGGCACGCCAAGATCCACCTCAAGCAGAAGGAGAAGAAGGCCGAGAAAGGCTCGGCCGGGCCGCCCCCCCCCGCAGCTCCCCCCGTCGCCACCTCCTCGCCCCCCGTCGCCCTCACCCCCGCCGTCACCACGTGCGCCTGAGGGCAGCTGGGGGACGGAGCGGTGCAGCCCCGGAGCGCTGCGCGGGGCCGGGACCGGAGGAAGGACGCCCGCACGACCCCCCCCCCCCCACCCCGCTCTGCCCCGGCCGTGTGGATCGGATCGGCCGCAGCTCGGCACCCGCAGCCCTGAGCCCGTGCCTGGGGGGTCCGCGTCCCGCTGCGCGCATCCCGGTACCCGCGGCCCCGTCCCGGGCTCAGGTCGCGCTCATCCCGCTGCGTGCGTCGCGGTGCGGCGGGCCGGGCTGCGCGCGTCCCGGCGTCGGGGCCGAGGATGCGGGCGTCTCAGCGTGGGCAGCCCGGTACCGGGGGTCGGGCGGTGCGCATGCCGGTGCCGACCCAAGCCGGGAGCGTTCCGGTACCGGGGATCGGGCTGCGTGTGGGCCGGGAGCGGGGTCAGGATGGAGGCGTCCCGGCGCGTCGGGTGCATCGCGGCGAGCGGATCCCAGCGCTGGGGGCCGGGATGTGAGCGCGTCGGTGTGTAGGGCCCGGCGTCGGGGGCCGAGATCCGAGCATCGCGGTGTGGCCGACCCCGTGCTGGGGGTCGCGGTGCGGTCGGGATGCGGGCACTGCGCTGTGCTGATCGTGGTGCCGGGGGTTGTTTGAGATTCGGGCACAGAGATTTGGGTGCACGGAGCCGCTGCTGGAGGTTGGCGTGTGGGCGCCTCTGCGTGCCGAGCCGCCGCCGGGGGTCGAGATTCGGGCACCCCGATGTGCGCGGAGCCGCTGCTGGGCTCGGGATTCGGGCTCCCTGGTGCCGGAACCGGGCCGGGTGCCCCCAGTAACCTGGGGACGGCGCCGTGCGCTACGGGGGAACCCGCGGGGGGTTTCACTCCTCCCGGCCCCCAGCGGTGCTGCGTCCCGACCCCCCCGGCCCTTCCGCACCCGCGGTGCCGCCCCCCCTCCCCGGTACCACGCGGTTGGGCCCCCAAAACCCACGGCTGCCCCGCGCCCCCCAGCTCTGCTCGGTGCCGTCGCCCCCTTTTGTTTCCCCCATCGGTTTCCTCCGTCGGAAGGGAAATTCTTTACAGAAACGCAGCAAAAAAAAAAAAAAACCAACAAAAAACAAAAAAAAAGAAACCAACCAAACATACATAGAAAAAAAAAAAAAAAAACAAAAAAAAAGACAGAAAAGCAAAAAAAAACCACAAAAAAAAGACAAAAAAGAAAGCAGTATTTTGCTGAATACTTTTTATAATGTGAGATATTTTTATTTTCTTTCCTTCGGTCACTTTACAAAACTGCGACTCCGACTCCGCGGGAGGAGGAGAAGAAACCGACGAGGCGCCGGGTTTCGGCGGGCGCCGCTTCCCTTCCCCGGCCGCTGGTTGTGTGCATGGCGCTGCATGGCCGCTGCCCGCTCCCCTCCGAGCGCCCGAACGGCACGAAACGAGCGAGCGACCCCCCGAACGGCCGCGCGGCACCGGCGCCCAAAGGCCGCTGTGAGCCGCGTCCGAGGCGGCGCGCGGGCGCTGGTGGCTCTGCGAGCGCTGCGCGGCTGCACGGCTGCACGACACAACGACACAACACAACAACGACACAACGACACAACGACACAACGACACAACGACACAACGACACAACGACACAACACAACAACGACACAACACAACAACGACACAACAACACAACAACACAACACAACAACGACACAACACAACAACGACACAACACAACAACGACACAACAACACAACAACACAACACAACAACGACACAACGACACAACGGCACAACAACACAACACAACGACACAACACAACAACGACACAACACAACAACGACACAACGACACAACACAACAACGACACAACGACACAACAACGACACAACACAGCAACACAACAACACAACAACACAACAACGACACAACACAACACAACAACACAACAACACAACAACACAACAACACAACAACGACACAGCACAGCAACACAGCACAGCTACACAGCTACACAACAACACAACACAACAACTACACAACACAGCAACACAACACAGCACAGCTACACAACACAACAGCACAACTACACAACAACACAACACAACTACACAACACGGCTGCACAACTACACAACACAGCAACACAACAACACAGCACAGCTACACAACTACACAGCTACACAGCTACACAACACAGCACAGCAACACAACAACACAACACAGCATAACATGACACAACACAACATGACACACAGCACAACACACAACACAACATGCGCATGACACAACATGACAACACCCAGCACAACGCAGCACACAACATGGCACAGCACAGCGCAACGCAACGCACAACACAGCGCGACGTGGCACAGCACAGCGTGACGCAACACGTGCAGTGCAACACAACACAACAACACAACACAACAACACAACACAATGCAACACAACACAACACAATGCAACACAACTCAACACAACACAATGCAACACAACGCAACACAACTCAACACAACACAACAACACAACACAACAACACAACACAACAACACAACACAACGCAACACAACACAACAACACAACACAACGCAACACAACTCAACACAACACAACGCAACACAACACAACATAACACAACTCAACACAACGCACAACATGGCCCCACACAACGTGCACAACAACAACACAGCACACAGGGGGCAAAGGGTTGGGGCGAGCGGGCAGTGATGGATGGGAATGGATGGGATGCAGGGTTGGGGTTGGGCAAATGGATCCACACAGCACAACAACACAACAACACAACAACACAACACAGCACAGCACAACACAACAACACAGCACAACAACACAACGCAGCACAACAACACAACAACACAACAACACAACACAGCACAACAACACAACATGACAACAACACAACAGAACAACAACACAACACAACAACACAACACAACACAACACAGCACAACAACACAACAACACAACGCAACACAACAACACAACGCAGCACAACAACACAACACAGCAAAATAACAGCACAGCACAACAACACAGCACAAGAACATAACACAGAACAACAACACAACACGACACAACAAACACAGCACAACACAACACAGCACAAAAACAGTGCAGCACAACAACACAACAAACACAACAAACACAACACAACAACACAACACAGCACAACAACACAACAACACAACACAACAACACAACACAGCACAACAACACAACACAGCACAACAACACAACACAACAACACAACACAACAACACAACACAGCACAACAACACAACACAGCACAACAACACAACACACAACGCAGCAACACACAACACAATGCAACACCACACAACAACACACAACGGAACACAACAACACAATGCAACACCACAACACCACAACACAGCACAACAGCACAACACAACACAACACCCAGCGCAACACCACACCAACGCAACGTGCACGAAAAAGGCAAAAAAACCCAACAAAAGGCAAAAAAATCCCAAGGGGGGGATGCTATTTTTTGAGAGACTTTTGTATCCAAGTCGAGCACTTAGAGAAAAACACAAAAAAGAGGAAAAAAAAAAGAGAAAAATCCACCAAAAAAAGGAAAAAAAACCAAGGAAGAGGCCGCTGCAGATGTAATATATTTTGTGGATGTTTTTATTGCTGATTTCTAGTACCTTATACTAAGGTTTAAGAAAGAAAAAATAAAGAAAAAAGGGACGAAAAAAAAAGTTAAAAAAAAAAAAAAAAAAAAAATTCGCCCCCAACCCCGCAGCCCGAAATGATGATGATAATAATAATAATAATAATTAATAATAATAATTAGTACTACGAAAACCCGGCGCTCGGTATCGTGGAAAGGTGACTTTCCCACACATTTCATCGCTCCCCGCTGTGCCATTGACTGCGACCGCCGATGCCGTAAATATATTCAGTGTGGCTGAGAAAGCGCTGCGGACTCCCGGCCCTTCTTTGAGCGCAACGGGGGGGGAAGCGGCCGGGGACCCGAATGTGGGGGGGAACCGCGGCTGTGGGTTGGGGGCTGCGTGCGTCTGGGGGGGGTGAACCCTGCGCCGTAGGGTTGGGTTGGGGCCGGCGCCTCTTTGGGGTGCGGGGGTGGCGCGGCTCGGCCCCACAGCTCAGCCCCACAGCTCAGCCAGCATCTCGGCCCTCATCTCGGCCCACATCTCGGCCCCACATCTTGGCCCCACATCTCGGCCCCACAGCTCGGCCCCACAGCTCAGCCCACAGCTCAGCCCCACAGCTCAGCCAGCAGCTCAGCCCCACATCTCGGCCCGCAGCTCAGCCCACAGCTCAGCCCTCAGCTCGGCCCTACAGCTCAGCCAGCATCTCGGCCCCACAGCTTGGCCCCACACCTCGGCCAGCATCTCGGCCCTCATCTTGACCAGCAGCTCAGCCCCACAGTTCAGCCCCACAGCTCAGCCAGCAGCTCAGCCAGCATCTCGGCCCTCATCTCAGCCAGCAGCTCAGCCCCACATCTCGGCCCCACAGCTTGGCCAGCATCTTAGCCAGCAGCTCGGCCAGCAGCTCAGCCCCACAGCTCTGCCAGCATCTTAGCCAACAGCTTGGCCAGCAGCTCGGCCCCACATCTCAGCCCCACATCTCAGCCCCACAGCTCAGCCCTCAGCTCGGCCCCGCGCCTCCGCCCCAACACTGGGGGGTTTTTCCACCCTTGGCCCCGCGGAGGATTTGAGGCTCCGGTGGCGTCCGTTGGCTCAAAGCGGATCTGGCGGTTCAGCCCTTAATGCCGCGGTGCCGCAGGTGCGGAGCGCCGAGGGATTTCTGCTAGGGTTATAAATAACGTGGATTTCGGGGCCGGCGCTCGGAGGTGCGTCGGGGCGAGGAGGGGTGATGGGCAAATCCCGCAGCCACGCTTTTCCCTCGCACGGCCGCGGAGCCGCGACGCTCCGCTTCGCGCCCTCGGGGCGGCCCGCTCCGTCCTCCCCGACGGGGAGCGGAGGTCGCGGCTGCCGAGCGACGGCGGGCAACGGGGCGCCGACAGGGCGGCGTCGGATGGGGCGCGACGGGGACGGCCGGCACGAGCGACGTGGGGTCGGGCGCCGCCTCCACCTGCGGGGCCGTAGCGGCGGCGGTGGGGCCGAGCCCCAGGCGCCCCGTGGGATCTGCTGGGGCCGCCGTCGGGATGGGAGCGCGCGGAGGGGCACCCATGGGTGGCGGAACGTGCGGAGCGCGTGCGGCGCCGCGCACGAAAATGCTGGTTGCCACGGAAACGCGGCGCTTTCCGTCCCCGCTGTGCGCTCTGGGGGCAGGGAAGGGCTCGCAGCCGCTGTGTGGGTCCGGCCGGCGCTCCTCGCGGCCCGCAGCCCTTCGGCCACCCGTGGGACGGCGGCTGGGCTCGGAGGAGCGGCCGTTCCCGTCGGGTCGGCCCCGATGTCTTGGTTGGGAAGGGCGGTGGAAGGAGTCCCCGAATTGTTCCCAAATCCAGGGCACGGCCACTCGCACGATGCTCCCCCCGTGTCCCCCTGCCCGTCCCTCACCTCCACGCCCCGACCCCACGTCCCTTCCCGGTGTCCCAGGGGGGTCACTGGCCCTGGCAGGACTCTGTCACCCTTTGTGGGGCCACCACCCCAGTGCCACCAACCCCACGGGGCTGTCGGCCTCTCCGGGGCCATCGCTCCCCCACCACCGCCTTCCATAGGGACGTCGCTCCTGTGTCACCACCCTCCATGGTGACACCCGGCGCCACCACCCTCCGTGGGCCGTCCCTCCCCGTGGTGCCATCGTGGGTCCATCTCCCCACCGCCTCCCTCCACGCTGACGTCACCCTTCCCAACCCCGTCCCCATTCCCTGCAGCCCATTCGCACCAGACGTCCCCACCGAGTCCCTTCCAGCCCAGCGATGCTCTGCGCCCCGCGGTCCCCCCCCATTCCAGGTCCCCTTTGTCCCCTCTCCCCGCAGCCTCAGCACAGCCCCCCCTGCGCTCACCTCCCTCGATCCCTCAGCCCTAATCCCGTGTCCTCGCCGCTGTGTGTAACACCTTCCCAAATTAGCAGCAGCATCAGCCGTGACGGTAATTAACGCTCTGTTTACCTGCGCTGCTAATTCATAAAGCCACCCCTGGCACCGCTCCGAACCCAGCAGCCCCATGCGGTGGCACGCGGCTCTGAAGCCATGGCTGCTGCGACGCCCCGCCAACCCGTCCCCAATTTCGGGCCTTTTCTCCCCAAAACCCAACCCTCCACCCCTCCGCAAACCCAACCCTCCTCCCCTCTCCAACCCGTCCCCAATTTTGGGCCTTTTCTCCCCAAACCCAGCGCTCCCCATTCCATCCCCTCCCCAATTCCAGACTTTTTCTCCCCAAAGCCCCCCGCTCTCCCCCCTCCCTGTGCTCCCAGCCCCTCCGTAGGCACTGAGCAGCCTTCCTTCCTCCCTCCTCCTTCCTCCCTCCTCCTCCTCCTCCCCAGCCCGGAGCACAGCTCTGTTCGTGGCCCCGACTCGCTCACGTCATTTTCTTTACAGAGATGTTTGCCATTTTAAATGCGGATTTGGGTTTTGTTTTTAATGATTCCCCCCCCCTCTCTGAAGCTCTTTCCCCGAATTTCCCGTGTTTTGGATCAAAACGGAGCTTTTTTTTCCCATTTTTTTGCAGTTTCCTCTCTGAAAATAACTCCCAAACTATAATTTCCTCCCACTTGCTTTTTCCCCTCTCCTTATTTTGAGGTGCGGAGTCGCCGGACCGGCGCAGCGCTGCTTTCCTATGGGGAACGGGGGCCCCAGCCCCTGCCCAAGGACTGGGACACACTGGGACGCACTGGGAAAGACTGGGACAGACTGGGATGCACTGGGATGCACTGGGACAGACTGGGATGCACTGGGACAGACTGGGATGCACTGGGATGCATTGGGACGCACTGGGATGCACTGGGATGCACTGGGACACACTGGGATGCACTGGGACAGACTGGGATGCACTGGGACGCACTGGGATGCACTGGGATGCACTGGGATGCACTGGGATGCACTGGCACAGGGCCGTCCCCACCCCCATGTATAGGATTTGGGATTTGGTGACCCCATGTGTCCCCACTCCCAGCCCTAAGCCATTTTCCTATGGGAACGCGGCGCTGTGTCCCTCTGTCCGCTGTCTGTCTGTCCGTCCCCGAGAAGTTTGGGCTGCCATAGGGGTGCACGGTGTGGGGTCACCTCAGGCAGATGGGGGCACCGCTTTTAGGGCTCCTGGGGCTCCCAAGGATGCTCAGGGCACCAAAGCGGGGCGCCATCGGGGCGTAATTCAGGATCCCATTGGGATGGGATCTGGGATCACGGCAGGATGGACTTCAGGAGCTCAACCAGGGTTTGGGAGCCCATGGGATTCGGGATTTCACCGGGATGGGATTTGGGAGCCAGTTGGAACAGGATTTGGGGCTCATTGGATGGGATTTGGGGCTCCTTGGGATTTGGGGCTCAATGGGATTTGGGGCTCAATAGGTGGGATTTGGGATCTCATTGGATGGGATTTGGGGCTAAATGGGATTTGGGGCTCATTGAGATTTGGGGCTCATTGGATGGGATTTGGGGCTCATTGGGATTTGGGGCTCCTTGGGATTTGGGGCTCATTGGGATTTGGGGCTCATCGGGATTTGGGGCTCATTGGATGGGATTTGGGGCTCATTGGGATTTGGGGCTCCTTGGGATTTGGGGCTCAATGGGATTTGGGGCTCATCGGGATTTGGGGCTCATTGGATGGGATTTGGGGCTCCTTGGGCACACCGGGGCGCCCGTCACGCCATGACCCGATGCGGCTCTGGCTCCCAGCAGGACAGCGCTTGGGGTCCCGTTAGGAGGTCGCTCGGGGTCAGCAGGGCGCCGTTCAGCCGCTCCCAAAGCGCCCCGTGACGCCACGCCCGTGCCGTCAGCCGACCGCACTGCAGCCCGGCACGCCAAGGGTTAACAGCGCTCGCTCCCGGTCGTGACGTCATGAAGGGACCGGAAGGGGCGGGGCCTGGCGGCAGTACTTCCGGGAGCGGCGCGGGCCGGCGGGCACCATGAGCTGGTGAGGGCGGCGGGGCCGGGAGGGCGTTGTGCGGATCGGTCCGGAGGTGCGGGCGGGGCTGAGCCCGGAACGGGATGGTGGAGCTGGGGGCTCCGGGTCGCTTGGGGCGGGAAGGGGGCTTCGAAATGGGCTTCGAAATGGGCCTGCGGTGCTGCTGCGGCCTGAGCTGGGCGGGTGGGGGGTGGGGGTGTATGGGGAAGTGTGTGGGGGTGTGGGGTATGGGGGGGGTATTGGGGTGTATGGGGGTGTGGGGTATGGGGGGGTGGGGGGTATGGAGGGGTATTGGAGGGTGTGGGGGGTGTGGGATATAGGGTGTGTGGGGTATGGGGTGTATGGGGGTGGGGTGTATGGGGGATGTATGGGAGCTATGGGGGGTGTGGGGTGTTTGGAGGGGATGTGGTATATAGTGAGGGTGGTGTATGGGGGGCTGGGGGTGGAGTATGGGGGTGGGGAGCGTATGGGGCGATGTGGGTATGGGGGGGTGTGGGGCATGAGGTGGGAGGTGGTGGGAGTGTGAGGGGTGGGGGGTGTATGGAGGGCGCATGTGGGAGGCTGTGCAGGCAGAGACTGGGGAGTGCGGGGGGGTGGGCTGTGCGTGGTTTATGGGGTGGGGGTGGGATGTGTGGGGCGGGCAGGGTAAGGCCGTGTGGGTCAGCAGCCGTGCAGCGTGTGGGGTGGGTGGGCAGGAGTAGGGCTGACAGGGGCTGCAGATGGGTGAGATGTGGATGGGCCGTATGGGGTGGGCAGTTATAGAGCCCGGCGTGGGGCAGGTGGGTACTGAGGCTGGCGGCTGTGTGGGGTTGGCAGGCTGGGGCCGTGTGGTGCCCGCAGCTGCAGCACGGCGCGTGGAGGCCCCACATCCTCCCCTGCAGCCACACAGCAGCGACGTGGGGCCGCTCCACGGCGACGAGGCCGGGATTCCCATGGGTGCCAGCTGGGCTCGGGCCGATGCGACCCTTCGGGTTGAACCGCGCTGAGCTGCAGGTTGGCTCCTTTGGCTCTGTTGGCAGGGTTTGCCAGCAAAGCTCCGCACTGCTGTGTGCCGGCACTGCTGTGTGCCCGCCTGCCCTCGCTGCCCCTCTGCCTTGGGGAAGCCCATGCGTGTTGCTGGGCCGCATGCTGCAGCACCAGCCGTCTGCTGGCCGGCGTGCGAGGCAGCAGCCCTGCGCAGAGATCTCTTGCCGTAGAGGAACAAAAGGCAGCTGTGTGAAGGAGGGTTTGTGGCTCGCTGCGAGCTGAGGCGCCCCGCTCTTTTAGCACCAAACCCCACGTCAGTGCTGAGCGCATTGCGGCTCACGCGTCAGCGCGGGGCCTCGGGCCCTGCAGGCTTCAGCTGTGTGCGAGGGACACAATGGCGCTCAGTGCAGCCTCAATGGTTGGCCCCCAGCCTCGCCGATTCCCGCCCCGATGAATCGCCCCATTGACGTGGGGCCGGGCCGCGGGGTTCCGTGACGCGGCGGATGCTGCACCGCGGCTCTGCCTGCTGCCCTGTGGACGTCAGAGGGGAAAGCGCCCGGCGTGGGCGCTGTGTGCGGAGGGCGAGCTCTGCTCCCCTTGGCAGCGGGGGCTGTTTGCTTTGTGCGCGTGCCTCAGCCCCATGGGGGCGTCGCGGCCCTCAGCTGCGCCCTTTGGGGTCGGCCGTGGGGCTGGAGCTGCGTCCTCAGCTCAACCTCACGCGTGATGTGACGAGGGATCTCCGCTTCCTTCCGTCGTCTCCCTGACCACGAACCCCCAACCCGCTGCCCTTTCCAGCACAGCTGGCTCAGTTCTGCCCGTCCTCCCCTCCACCCCAAACTATTTGGGAGAGCAAGGCCGCGTCTCTACGGCTCCCAGCTGATGGCTCCCTTCTGCAGGCCGGTGTCTGCCCCCACGTTGTGCCTTAATTCTCTGCTTTCCCTCCTCCTGTCCAGACGGATCCTGGCGTTGCGCCCCCTGCTCAGCTGGGAGAAGCTTCCTCCCGTTGCACAAAGGGCTGCCGCCGCTGCAGGAGCTGTGAGGCTGCAGGCGGATCGAAGCCCCGACTCCTGCGCTGCGCGGCTCTGCCGTATGGGCTGTGCTGTCAGAGCAGGACTCGGCCTGTTTTGAGGCAGCCTGCGCGGCCAGCTGTCGGTTCTCTGAAGCCCGGTGGCTTCCTGCAGATCTGCGGGGCTGCGGGTGCCCTCAGAGCTCTGCCCACCCCCCGCGAGGAGCTGAGCTGCTCAGAAATGAAATCGTGGCTTCCGTCGCAGCGAGCGTCTCGCTCGTGGCAATCTGAAGGGTTGTTTGAGGTTCTTGGAACCACATGAGACCAAATGCTTTGCAGCTCATCAACAGACTCCCGAATTCCTCCTCTTTTGGCTCCCGACTGTAGGGAAGGGGCTGTGAGCAGTGTGACAGCTCGGGATGCGAGCGCGGCGGCACCGCTGCAACAGCTGCTGTTTACTGGGAGAGAAAACACGCGAAGCAAATGTTGGTGGGGAGGCAGCACGAAGCACGGCTCTGATCGCCGCGCCGCACTGCTGGGCTGCTGGCAGAACCCTGACCTGGCTGCTGGCTGCTGAGCTGCAGGCGGGGGCTCAGAGAGCGCTGAGGGTGGGGGGTCCGTGGGGGGGAGGCGGCGGAGCTGCGTGGTGAGCAGGGCTTCGTTCTCACACCTCTGTCAGCCGCGAGCCGGAGAGACACGGCCGTGTTCTCCCAAATAGTTTGGGGTGGGGGGGAGGAGGGGTGGAGTGGGGCCGGCTGCCCTGGGGAGGGCGGCGGGTTGGGTTGGGGGGTCGTGGCAGGGAAGCGCTGGGGTCGGGAGCGGCGAGGTGTGCTGGGGTGGCAGCATGAGAGCAGCTGAGAGCTGTGCTGGGTGCTGGGCTGCGCCGTGGCCTCGGGCCTGCTGTGCTCAGTGCTCAATGGCCTGTGCTCCCGTGGGCCTCGGTCGGCGGTTCGTGGTCACCGACTCGTGGCTCCGTACGATCGGCGGCTCGTGGTCCTTCTGTGGTCAGTGGGCTTTGGTCAATGGCTTGGGGTCCCTTTGTGGCCAGCGGGCCTCGGTCGGTGGTTCAGGGTCCCTCCATGGTCCCTGACTCGTGGTTCCCATACGATCAGCGGCTCGTGGTCCTTCCACAACCAGCGGACTTTGCTCGGTGTTTCGTGGTTCTCCCGTGGGCTCTGGTCAATGGCTCGCGGTCCCTCCGTGGCCACAGGGCCCTGCTCAGCCGCTCGCTGTCCTTCCACAGCAGGGCTCGTGCTCCCCGTGCTCCCTGGCCTTGCTGTGTGCCTCGCGCTCCCTCCGCAGCCAGCAGTCAACGGCCCGCGCTCCATCCCCGCTCCACCCAACGCTCCCCTCCTGCCCAGCTCCCCGGAGGCTGGCTGGGATTCCAGGTCTCGGTGGTGATGGTGGTCGATGGTTGGACCTGATGACCTCAGAGATCTTTTCCAGCCTTCGCAGCTCCGATGGGACGAAGCCGTCGGGTGCCGGCGCTGGGCGGAAGCGCGGCGGTGGGGATTTCTTAATTATTATTTTTTCCATCTCCTTTGTGCAGGTAGCAAAAAAGCAGCGTTAGAGCTGAGCCCACAACCGCGTTTCACAACCGTGCTTAAAATGGATATTTCTGTAGCATAGTCAGGGCCTAAAACAGCCTTGCAGAATGCTGCTCACCCACGCGCCTGGCGTGAGTAATTTGCTTTTGATGGGTGAGTAAAACATCGGTATTTTTTTTCCACGCTCATCTCGGATCGGGTGGGAGAGCGGCTCGTGCCGGGAGCCGGGATCAGCTGGGAGCAGGGCTGCGTGGACAGCAGTGCTGAGCCCAGCCAGCAGCGCCCCGCCAGCCCCCAGCCGCCTCCCCGTGCTGCAGGCCGGCCGTTCCCCATCGCTTTGCAGGGCCGTAAGGCGGCCAGCTGTGGGGTCCCGGCCCCCCAACCCGCTCCCTCCCACGCTGCGGGGCCCCAGGCCTGCGCCCAGCACCCAGCTGCTCCGCCACCGGCTTTTTGCGATGCCTTGGAATCGTTTTTTTTCCCCCCTTTTTTTTTTTGGCTTCTCGGCGCTGCGTTTGGAGCCGTTGCTATGAGTTGAGCTGCGAGGAGGGGGGTGGGGGGGAGCGGGGTGGGATGGTGCATGCGGTTGCCATGGACACGGTGTAGCAGCAGTGCGCCCGGAGGGATGGAGCGACGGATCCCGGCGGTGTTGGTGGCTTTGTCACCCGCACGGGGCTGGAATTCCCCGCTCCGAGGGCACCCGGTGCTGCGAGCTTCAGCTCTGGGGCTCCTCGTGGGCTTTGGTTGGGGTTTGGGCTCCGCTGGTGTTTGTGGAGCGCTGTGCGGTGGGGTGGCTGCGAGCTCCTCCTGCTCCCCGTCCTCCTCGGCCAAAGCTCGCTGTGCTCTGGGCACGGTGACAACCCGGGGTGCTGCCCCGTGCTCCCCGCAGGGTTCTGTGGGCGCAGCGCTGTTGGGGCAGAGCTTTGCTGGGGGAGCAGAGGGCTGAGCCCCCCGTGGACGCGCCGTGGGATGGAGGCAAAAGGAGCGCTGCCCCGTGAGGGATCGCGGCTGACGCTGCGCTGCCTCTGCGCCACGTTCCCGGGGGGTGCAGCAGCGTGGGAGCTCCGTTCCGTCTCCGTTTCCCCACAGACCCCGCGGAGCTGCACCCCTCTGCCCACGAGGCTCATTTGCAGCTCCCCGATGCGTCCCGGGGGGGGGGAACTGAGATCCTTTGGTGCTCAGCCCTGGGTGCCTGGAGAAGCCGAGTGAAAGTATGGCCTGGCTGGGGAAACTTCAGAGGGAGCGAAGCGCAGCTTCTCCCACCTTCCCCTCCCTGGGGTCGCTGCTCAGCCCTCAGCAGAAGCTCGCAGGGTTCTCTCCACCCACACTTCTTTCCCTGCTTTCAGCCCTTCCCACCCTGCTCAGAGCTCTGCCCCGGCCCCACAGCAACCCCTCAACCCCGCAGCAGCCCCCCAACCCCACAGCAGCCCTCAAACACACAGCAGCCCCCCAACCCCACAGCAGCCCCCAACCCCCGCAGCAGCCCCTGACCCCCACAGCAGCCCCTCAACCCCCACAGCAGCCCCCCAACCCCACAGCAGCCCCCCAACCCCCACAGCAGCCCTCAAACACACAGCAGCCCCCCAACCCCACAGCAGCCCCCAACCCCCGCAGCAGCCCCTGACCCCCACAGCAGCCCCTCAACCCCCACAGCAGCCCTCAACCCCACAGCAGCCCCTCGACCCCAGAGCAGCCCCCCAACCCCACAGCAGCCCCTCGACCCCAGAGCAGCCCCCAACCCCCACAGCAGCCCCTCGACTCCACAGCAGCCCCCCAACCCCACAGCAGCCCCTCAACCCCACAGCAGCCCCCCAACCCCACAGCAACCCCCAACCCCACAGCAGCCCCTCAACCCCCACAGCAGCCCCCCAACCCCACAGCAGCCCTCAACCCCACAGCAGCCCCTCGACCCCAGAGCAGCCCCCCAACCCCACAGCAGCCCCTCGACCCCAGAGCAGCCCCCAACCCCCACAGCAGCCCCTCGACTCCACAGCAGCCCCCCAACCCCACAGCAGCCCCTCAACCCCACAGCAGCCCCCCAACCCCACAGCAACCCCCAACCCCACAGCAGCCCCCCAACCCCACAGCAACCCCCAACCCCACAGCAGCCCCTCGACCCCACAGCAGCCCCTGACCCCCACAGCAGCCCCCAACCCCCACAGCAGCCCCCAACCCCCACAGCAGCCCCCCAACCCCACAGCAGCCCCCAACCCCACAGCAGCCCCCCAACCCCACAGCAACCCCCAACCCCACAGCAGCCCCCCAACCCCACAGCAGCCCCCCAACCCCACAGCAGCCCGCAGTGCTGGGCTGGCTCAGCGCGCTCTTCAGGAACGTGGTTTCAAAGCTTTTCACACCCCAAACAACGGCCCTGTTGCTCTCTGGCTCAGCAGAAACGAGAAAGCAAAGAGAGGGGGGAAAAAAGGAAGAAAAAAGGCCCCAGTTCTGCTTTGCCCTCTTGAGGCGCCTCCTCTCACCCCGACCCCCCTCCACGCCTGGTCCCTGGGGCTCTGCTCTCTGCCCCCCCTGTGATGCTCTGCTCCCTGCGCTGCCGTTCCTTTCCTGCTTTTTTTGCTTTTTCTTTCTGCAGATCTGTATTCAGAAAGCAAAAAGAGTTGGCAGCAACCGGGAAGATTGTCTGCAATCAGAGCAACAACAACAGCAGCAGCCACCCAAAAAACAACCCCGAGCGAACAGCCGTGGCTTTGCGCAGGGCTGCGTGCAGCAGGTCGCACCAGGCAGACAATGAGCAGCACGGCGCTGATGGAGGCGTTCGCTGCTCCGCGCTCCCGGGGCTCTGCTGCCTTGCTTTTGTTCTGGAGGAGAGCAGGGAGGGTTTGGGAGCCCCCAGCACAGAGCGCAGGGACCCCCGGCCCTGAGCTGCTCGCGGCGCTGCCCCCAGCCGCCTCCTCCTCCTCCCCGTGGCTGCAGCTGGGCTGAGCTCCATCACTTCGCAGGATCACAGACTCACAGGGGTCAGAAGGGCCTGCAGAGGTCGTGGAGTCCAGCCCTCCTGCCAGAGCAGGATCCCTGCGCCAGGTCCTTACAGCTTAAGTGCATTAATTGCTGTTTAATTGCGCTTTGCCCCGGACGCAGCCTGCAGGGCCGGGTGTGGGGGGTCTCCAGCCCCACATCATGACCTCTCTCTCCCTCCCCCAGCCCCACATCATGACCTCTCTCCCCTTCCTCCCAGCCCCACATCATGACCTCTCTCTCCTTCCTCCCAGCCCCACATCATGACCTCTCTCTCCTTCCCCCCGCTTGCAGCTCGCACTTTTGGCCTCAGTTGTGCCTTTTTCTCCCCGCTTGTGCCGTGCCACCCTTTGCCCACCCGCGGCTCGCAGTGCCCCATCCTGGCACATCCTGATGCACAGCACACGCCGTGGGGCAGCAGGGCACCTCGGCTGCGTTTATATTTGACCCCGCGCAGGAAAACATAGAGAAAAATCCGTGTTTTTTCTCTCCTTTTTGGCGCTCGTTTCCTGTAAGGCACCGCGCGGCCGGGCCGTAATGACACAGCGCAGAGCGTTGGTTTCTAAAGGAGGGCGGATTGACGGGGCTGCAGAGGGCTGACAGCCCAAAATGACATCGGCTGAAGGGGAGGACGATAAACAGGAAGCGGTGCCCAAAGCGTGCACTTATCGCGGTGACTCAGGTCGGCGCCCCGGCTTCGTTACCGGCGGCTTTAATTACACCGTTGGTTTGGAAACGGTGCCGGAGCTCCGCTGGGCGGAGGCGGCGAGGGCCGGGGTCGGCGGGCGGCCTCGTGCCGCGCCGTGCGCTGAGCTGGGGGCGCCTTCCTGCAGGCGGGGCGGCGCGGGGCGGCGGAGCAGCGCGGCTTCGGGCGGCAGCGAGGACGGCGGCGGCTCGGGGCTGCGGCGCAGCGCTGGGTTCGGGGCGGCTGGGCTGCGAGGCGCTGGCTGCCCTGTGGCGGGGCTGACCTTTGTTGCTGTGCGGGAGGCTCTGGGCGAGCGGCTGGGATGGAGCGTCGCCTCCGGGGCTCAGTGAACAGCCGGAGGATCCCGCTTTTCTTCTTGCTTATCGGTGGAATAAAAACCCGGCGGATCTCAGGGCTGTAAGGAGCTGGCAGGGCTGCCCCGAGTGATTCCTGGGTGCTCCTCACCTGGGAGCGAACTCGCAATGGGAACCGTGCGGGTGACCCAGATTTCAGCGGGGATCTGGGCTGCGGTGCTGGCAGGTGCGGCAGCTCGCATCGCTCCTGCTTTTAATGCCCTCCTGCTGAATCCTTACCGGCTTTGCTCCCGGTGTTGGGACGCAGCCCGCTCTGCAGCTGCGGGTTGAGCAGCACCCAGTGCCTTTGTTCCTGTGGCAGGAGGGCAGGGTGCCGCCTGGGGGGCTGGGGGCTCAGTGGGTGCCGCGCCGTGCTGGGGGTCCCCACCCCACATCCCCACCCCACATCGACCCCCGCTCCCCCCATGGATGCTTTCGCTGCGTCGCCTCTTGCTCACACTTTCCTCCCCTCTCCCTTCTCTCTTTCCCAGGATCCCGTTCAAGATCGGGCAGCCCAAGAAACAGATTGTACCCAAGACAGTGAGTAAAGCAATTCCCCGTTTTTAGCCGCAGCCTCTGATCATGTGGCTGTGAGTCAGGGCGGCACTTTGGCTCGCCCCACTTCACGAGGAGGCGGCGGGGAGCGAGCGGGACCTGCAGCCCTGCAGCGCTGCGTTCCTCGAGCCACGGAGCCCCGCGTGCAGGGAGCGCTGCTCCAGCCCGGCCGCTGCCCAGGCAGGGGCTGGGATGGCTCTCCTTGGAGGCAGAGACGTGGCCTGCCTTCCTTCCCTCCTTCCTTCCCTCCTTCCTTCCCTCCTTCCTTCCCTCCTTCCTTCCTTCCCTCGCTCAGCGGTGGCTTGTTTGTTCATCCTCGCTGAGCAGATGGAGGAGGAGGAGTGGTTCGGAGCGCTGAATATAACTGTTTCCAAAGAAAGGCTCATAAGCTGAGATGCTCAGTGCTCGGGCGTGAATTAATTTGTGCTGTGCAGCATTTGCTTTAGAAGCAAATTAAAGCAGCGTTTTGTCTTGCCGTGGCTCCCATCCCCGGTGCTGCCTCCTGCAGCTGCCTGCGGTGCTTCCCCTTCTGCAGACGCTCCTTGCCTTCGTCCTGCACGCCTCACCCCGAGCACCGGCCCGCCTTCCTCCTCCAAAGTGAGCGCTTGGCCGCTGGCCCCAAGCTGCCAGTGCAGAACCGGGCAGCAGGGATGGAGCGGCCCCATCACGTCCCTCCATGGCGTTCCTGCATCTCCCAGCCCTTGGCAACAGGTGGGCAGCACCGCGATGCTGCGACGGGCCGAAGAACCGCGGCAGTTTGTCCCCATTTATTTCTGCTTTCCAGCAGCCCCCAGGACTCGGAGATTTGCCTCCTGTTCTTCGCAGTGCCTGCTGCCAGAACTGCCTGCCCTGGGAGCCGCCTCCATCCCACCCGGCCCCACATTTGGCTCAATTTTGCTTTTTGTCCTGCTGGTTTCGCCCTCTCCTGCTGGGGGTTGGGCTGGGGCAGCACAGCAGGCCCCACACTGTGCACGAAGCCATGGGAGCCGTGGGGATGGGGGCAGAGGCAGCTGGCAGGCGCTGCACACACAGACACACACACACACACAGACATACAGACACACAGACACACACACACACACAGACACACACACACACACACACACACACTGTGTTACATGGAACAGCTCTCCGCATCCCGCAGCAGAGCTTCATTCTGCGCTGCCATTCCCAGGCCTGTCCCCATCCGCCCTTCCTTCCCTACAGAAGAGGAGTTGGGTCAGTTGGCTGCCGACCTCTGGGCGCTGGGGAGGTTAAAAAGGAAAGGCATTTGCTGGAGCTGCCCCGCTGTGGCTCACGGTGCGGTTTGTAACCGGAGCGCAGCGCTGTGCCAGGAGGCTGAGCTCCCCGCAGCGCCTTTTGCTGCTCTCCAGTTAACATTTTTCCTGGGCCGGCTGCAGTTGCGAGGCGCTGCGCTGAGGCTGCAGGGGGATTCGTCGCAGCTCCCCGTGGCTTCTGAGGCTCTGCAGCAGGGCAGCGTGTCGGCCCTAAGGGAAGGGAACCCCAGCGCGGAGCATCGCCCGGTCAGCCGGGGTGAAGCTGCCGCCCCCCAGACGGCCGCTGCTCCGTTTGCACCTTAACCTGGGCAAATCCTCTTGCAGACGGCGTAATCTCTCCCCTCCTCTCCCCTGCCGGGAGCAGCTGGCGCCAGCTGGGGGGGCTTCGTGCCGGGGGTGCAGCCCTTGGAACTAATGCCCGCTGATGGGACTTAACCCTGCTCGAATCCCTCCGTGCCCAACGCTTCCTGCTCAAACCCCGTGCGCAGATGAAGCCTCTTATGGCAGAGATGCTCCCCGGGGCCGAGCAGAGGTGATGCGGGAAGCAGAGCCGTGCTTATCCTCAGCTCCAGCGCTCGGTGAAGTTCACCGGCGTCCCCTCGAGGCCGTGCGGCGCTCCTGGCCAGGGCTGGGTGACCCGAGATGGGCAGGAGGTGCCACGTGTCCCCGTGGGGCTCCGAGCCGCACAGCACCGGCCGGCTCCCACCTGTTGGGATGGGGAACGGGAGCGCAGCCCCTCATTGCCCCGGCTTCCAGCCTGCCCTCCCTTGGCTCACGGGAGCTGTGCTGCTCTGCTGACCTGGGCGAGTCGGCCTGGCGGGCCGGGGGCCGTGGGCTCATCCAGCAGCCCTGTGCTCCCCGGGTCGGGCAGAGCAGCGGGATTCCGTCCACCCCGCTGTTTCCATTGGGCTCCAGCAGAGCGCTGGAAATCTGCGAGTAACGACGGAGGAAATGGCGCAGAAGTTGTGGGGTGAAATTGGGGCAGGCGAGTCAAATCCTTTCAGCATTTTCACGCTCTGCGGTGGGACGCAGCGTGGGCTGGAGGGGCTCCTCGGTGCCCTGCACAGCTGCTGGCTGGGGAAACGCCATGCGGCCCCAAACCGTGCGCGGCTCAGGGCTCCGTGGGCGCCGCGTGGCTGAGCATCCAGCCGTGGCAGCTCCATGGATGCCAGCCGTCCGGTTCGTCACCTTGGTGTCCTTTCCGACCCCGATGGTCCCCTGGGCTGCGCTGCTGGCTGGTCGGTGGTCTTGGAGGTCCCTGCGGACCGTGATGTCCTTGCTTCTCCCTTGCCCACCCTTTCCTTTGGTCGTGGCACAGCGCGGTTCCCCCGCACGGCAGAGTTTGGCCTGATTACACGGCTCTGCTCCTGGGAGAGGAGGAAGAGTCCCTTCCTGCTTTTTCCCAGCGCCCGTGAGAAGCTCAGCCCATCAGAATGTGCAGGAACCGGCGCGTCCTCCTCTAGGAAGGGAATTTCACCTCGGGGAGCGAGGAGCCCCAGCGCAGCCCCTTATTTCCATCTCTTTGAAGGGCAGCCTTTGGTTTCACTGCAGGGCAGTGATGGCGATGCTGCCCTGCGAGCACCGGGCTGCTGGCGGCGGAGGGAACGGGGTTGGCCAACAGAAATACGTGGCTGAGAAAGGAGAGCACCATTTCCTTAGGAGAACTCGGCCTCCTTGATGTGGGTTTATTAAGAAGCGCCGTCCTGCATGAAGCAGCACGGATGCCCTGAACGAGAGGCGCCCGCTGCGGGAGCGGGTTGGATTCTGAGTGTGCAGGGGCTGTTGGCACTGCTGGGAACTTCCCTTGGGACGTGGCGGCTTTGTCGCCTGTGCTCCTGCTCCTCTTTGCTCTCAAGGAGCACAGGTTCAGAATCCTATCGCAGCCTTCGCCCTCGGTCCTGGCGACGTTGAGGATTGCCACCGCGCCGTGCCAAATGTGCCTTGCAGGACGTGCTTGGCCCGATCGCTGCTCGTCCTCCTCGCCATCCCCCTGCCCTCCCACCCATGGGTGCTGCAGGGCCGGCTCCTCTCCGGGCCCCATCCGTGCGGCCGGGAATAGAGCTGAGTGGGAGGCGGCTGCTGCTGTGGGCGTGAAAAAGAAGAGCAGGCTGTGGGCAGCTGTCTGCAGACGTGGCACGGAGTCAGGGCGGGCAGCTGGGCGCTGCGCTGTCACCTCGTGCCATGGCAGGGCGCAGGGACGTGTTGTCCCCTCGGAGATGGGAGGGGTGGCGGGGTCACCTCCCTCGGAGGTGCTCAGAACAGCGGGGCTGCGGTTCTGGGCATGGGGGGGGGGGGGTTGGGTGGGATGTGGCTTCTTGGTGGTCCTTCTTGGGCCTCCGTGGTTCCGGGGGCAGGGGGCGCGTTGGGGTTGGACTGGGTGATCTGGGCCGTTCTTTTTGAGCTCTGTGGTTCTGTGGGTGCGGTGGGGAGGTGGGGGCTGGAGCCGGTGATGTTGGTGGTCTGTTCCAACCCCGGTGGCTCTGTGGCACGGTGGGGGTGGGCTGGGGTTGCACCTCAGTGGACTTTTCCACCCTCCGTGGTTCTGTGGGCACGGTGGGACGGGTCGGGGTTGGGGTTCTCGATGATCCCCTGCACCCTTCGTGGTTCCTTTGTGGTTGGGGTTGGATTTGGGCATCTTGGCAGCTTTCCGACCTCCGTCATCCTGCGCCGGGGGCAGCGTTGGAGTTTTTCCTCTCGAGGGCTGCAGAAGTTTCCCTGCCCTTCCATTGGGCGCCGCTGCCTCGCGTTCCTCGCCCCGCGCAGCAGGAAGCCAACGGCAGGAGGGAAGGGGCTGCAAAGCCCTGCAGGCCGCTGCGTTTTGGAGGCGGCGTTTTGGAGGAGCCGAGCGGAGCCAGCAGGACCCTCCCTGCTCTGCAGCTCCCTGCCAGGACCCGCCGCCCTCCGAAGGACACCGCTGCGAGTCAACGCCGACCCTTGGGTGTTCGCATCCCAAACAATTCACACATCAGACGTATAAATAGAGCGCGGCACTCGGCGGTTATTTTTGCAGCCATAGAAACACAGGGTGCTGCTTCCCCGGCTGCTGCCGAGTTGACCTCCAGGCTCCGGCAGCTGCGTGGCTCCGTCTGCCCCCACGCCGCTCCGTCCCTGTGCTCCAGTGACCATTTTTAGCAGTGCAAAGGGCAGCCGGAGCTCGGCGGAGCTTTTTCATCCCTGTGCATCCCTGGGATGGTGGGAGCCGATGGTGCCGGCAGCTGTCTGCAAGCAGCGCCGCGCTGGGGCTGCGCCAAACCCTGCGGCTCCTGACCCCACTGCGAGGCCCGAGCTGCGCCAGACCCACAGCGCCGTGGGGTCCCCGATGCTCCCAGCCCTGCGGGCGCTGAGCACCTCTCAGCCCATGGCACTGTGGGCATCCGGCGATCGCGGCCCCCTGGTTCTGGGGGGGAGCTGGGGGAGCGCGCAGCAGTGGAGCAGAGGAAGGGGGGCTGCTGAGCTCCGTGTTGGAGCGTTGCTCCGCCAGCTGCAGCCTGGAAGGCGCCGGCCTGTGGGGTTTCGTGCGCTGAGCCCAGGTCTGAGAGCCGAGCTCCGCACGCAGGTTGGGCTCCTGGCAGCTCAGCACCAAGCGGCCCAGCTTTGGTCCCATGACAACAACGAGGCACAGATTTTCTCTTGGCCCGGTCAGCTGAAATCCATTCGCTTATTCGGTCGACGAGGTGTGGAACGAATGTTTTAAATGTGCATTAAAACGGGCAGCGCGGAAGGAAAGGCTCCTCCAAATCTCTCCTCTGCCAGATGCAAACAGGGGGGAGCTGGCGGTGCTGCGGTGGGGGACAGGCAGGGCTGGGGGGCTGCAGCTGCAGCGTGGCGTGGAGCTGCTTTGGGGGCGCAGGAGGGGCAGCTGTGGGCTCCCTTTGCCGCTGTGGGGCAGACAGAGCGCTGCCCTCCGCCCCACAGCGCAGCTGATTTCTGTCTCTTCTTTCTGCAGGTGGAGAGAGACTTTGAGAGGGAATATGGGAAGCTGCAGCAGTGAGTACTGGCCGTGGGGCCGGGTCGGGAGCGGTGGCGCGGCTCTGCTGGGCCCCTTGGCTGCCCCCATAACCCTGGAGCTCCTGAGGGCCGCGTGCTTCCGCTGGGCTGAGCTTTGGGGACCGGGAGCAAACGTCCCCCACATCTCAGAGCATCGCGGTGCAGCTCAGCACTCTGAGCATTGCTGCAGTGGGGGAAGGAGCGCCTGGAGTCCCTGTTTGTGGGCAGGATTTGGGGGCTGTTGAATAAGGGAGCACCGAAGTGCAGGGCTGAGAGCCGTGGAGCAGCAGGGCCGGCAGCTCTGTGCTTGCAGAGCCGCTCTGGGTGGTTTTGTCTCAGCAGCGCACAAAGGTTTGTTGCTTTCCAAGATTCAGACTTCGCCTCCTTCTCCCATCTTTCAGGCTGGAAGAGCAGACCAAAAAGCTTCAGAAGGACATGAAGAAAAGCACAGACGCAGATTTGGGTACGTGAGCGCGGGAGGCGCAGGCTGCACTTGGCCACGGGGGGACGCAAGGGATCGGCGGCAGCGCTGCGCAGCAACCGCGGCTCCCGGCTGCGTGGTGCCGGGGCGGCCAGGCTGTGAGCGGAGCTCCCCGGGCAGCTCAGCGCCGGCTGCGCCCTGCTGAGGGCAGCGCTCACTGCTGCGCCCTCGGCTGCCGGAAGGGAAGAGCGGCGCCGAGCGGGGAGCGGAGCAGCAGGAGCCCCGCCGGGCTGCAGCCGCCCTTTGAGGGACGCAGGGCGCCGTCGGGGATCGCGGGTCAGATTTTCCTCGCTCAGGATTCCCCTCCCATGCGGTGGGCGTTGTTTGCACGGAGCGTTTCGAGCCCCAGAGGAGCTGTGGGAGGACTTTTCTTTTTCCGTTCCGTTCCGTGGCAGAGTCACAAACGAGCCGCGGCCAAACGACGGCTGATTTCTCACTTAAAGGCGCAAAGCGGGGCTGCGGGGCAGGAGGGCAAACCTGGTGCAGGGCAGGAGGGCAAACCTGGTGCAGGGAGGAGGGCAAACCTGGTGCAGGGAGGAGGGCAAACCTGGTGCAGGGAGGAGGGCAAACCTGGTGCAGGGCAGGAGGGCAAACCTGGTGCAGGGAGGAGGGCAAACCTGGTGCAGGGAGGAGGGCAAACCTGGTGCAGGGAGGAGGGCAAACCTGGTGCAGGGAGGAGGGCAAACCTGGTGCAGGGCAGGAGGGCAAACCTGGTGCAGGGAGGAGGGCAAACCTGGTGCAGGGAGGAGGGCAAACCTGGTGCAGGGCAGGAGGGCAAACCTGGTGCAGGGAGGAGGGCAAACCCGGCTCAGGCCCTGGGTGCCTGGGTTCCTCCCGCACTGCAGCTCTGCCCTGCGCCGCGGATCCTCAGCTCTGAGCCCTGCTGTAGCTGCACGCCACCTTCACTGCTGAGCCTTTAACCCCTCGGTTTGTGATCTTAGGAGATCATAAACCCCAGCACTGGGGCTCTGGATCGGGTTGCTCCTCCCAGAGCTGCTCCATTGCTCCCAGCAGACATCGGCCTCAGCAGACAGCGAGCGGCTCTGCTCACAGCCTTTTTGCTTTCTTCCTTTCTGCGCACCGACCGCAGCCTTTCCATTCCCGTTTTCCATTCACTGCCGTAGTTGTTTTGCTGATCTTTGTAGCAGTTGTGTCAGAGGGGTTTAATTTTCCATCCGAGGCCAACTGCAGGGCTGGGAAGGCAGACGGGAGGCAGGAGGAGCCCGTGGAGCACCCAGCTCCGTCTTCCCCAAGTTCCAGTGGGCTCCAGGGGCAGAAGCAGCTCCCTGGGGGCAGCTTTCATCCACCCGTGTGCATTGAGGAGGGCTGAGCGCTCCAGGCCTGCTGCTCCGCTGCTCCCAGCAGCACGGAACCCCGCAGGCAGACGCCGTCCGCACGGAGGCGCAGAGATGCGACGGGCTGCGATTGCCCTCGTTGGGACGGAGCTGCGGGAGCCCGGCGGCGGCGCTCTGTGCTCTGCGGGGAGGAGGCGGGACGAGGAGCCGCCTGCACTGATTGCTTGAGAGCCGCGGTGCTGCGAGGGCTGCTGCGCTGCCTGGAGCCCAGCGTGGAAGCGGCGCGGACGCGGCTCAGATCCAACGCGGGAGGAGGGATGGGGTCCCCTGCAGCGTCCTTGGGGAGGCCGTGGCGGAGCCCCTGGGTGTTGTGCCGTCACCCCTGCCGTGATACACGGCTCCGTGCTGCTAAAGGTGTCACAGAGCCGTGAGGGCGGCACGGAGCGCTGGAAGCGCCCTCATTCGGGGCCAGGAAGGAATGACGACCCCCTGTGCCACCCCGCCATGTCTGCGGCTGTGCTGTGCCCCGAGATCCAGGCGGCTGGGAGGGAGCGCCGGGAGCCCGGCTCCAACCCCAACCCCAACCCCCCCCGTGCTGCCGGGCCGCGTCTCTCACTGTCCCCATGTGTCTCACTGTCCCCCTATCTCTCACTGTCCCCATGTCACTCACTGTCCCCCTATCTCTCACTGTCCCCCTGTCTCTCACTGTCCCCCTGTCACTCACTGTCCCCCTATCACTCACTGTCCCCATGTCTCTCACTGTCCCCATGTCTCTCACTGTCCCCATGTGTCTCACTGTCCCCCCATCTCTCACTGTCCCCATGTGTCTCACTGTCCCCCTATCTCTCACTGTCCCCCATCTCTCACTGTCCCCCTATCTCTCACTGTCCCCCCATCACTCACTGTCCCCCTATCACTCACTGTCCCCCTATCTCTCACTGTCCCCCTATCACTCACTGTCCCCATGTCTCTCACTGTCCCCATGTCTCTCACTGTCCCCCTATCTCTCACTGTCCCCCCATCACTCACTGTCCCCCCATCACTCACTGTCCCCCTATCTCTCACTGTCCCCCTATCACTCACTGTCCCCATGTCTCTCACTGTCCCCCTATCTCTCACTGTCCCCCCATCTCTCACTGTCCCCCTATCACTCACTGTCCCCATGTCACTCACTGTCCCCCCATCTCTCACTGTCCCCCTATCTCTCACTGTCCCCCATCACTCACTGTCCCCCTGTCTCACTGCCCCCTGTTCCTCTGCTCTCCCCGCTCCCGCAGCCATGTCCAAAGCAGCAGTAAAGATCTCCTCCGACCTGCTGTCCAACCCGCTGTGTGAGCAGGACGCCGCCTTCCTGGAGGTGGTCACCGCCTTTGACACGGCCATGAGGAGGATGGATTCCTTCAACCAGGAGAAGGTGAGCGCGGCGTTGGCTGCGGCCGCGGCGTCGCCGTCCCAGGGCTCTTCCCACACCGGCGTCCCTTCGCCCGGCTCTGCGGACGGCGGCCCGTCCTGAGCCCCCGGGGCTTTGGGGGGCGCTGGGGACGCTGGAAGGGCTGCAGGTGAGCGCTGTGCTCCCAACAGGTGAACCAGATCCAGAAGACGGTGATGGAGCCCTTGAAAAAGTGAGTGCTGGGGCCGCGTTCGTCAGCGCCGCCCTCGTTAGGGGGCACGGGGCGCTCGGGGTCTGGCGGTGACCCTGGGGAGGGGACCTGGGGGGCGACCTGTGGGGGGGCCTGGGGGCAGCTTCATGCAGCGGGACGGGGGGGCAAACGGCGGAGATGGGGGTGCTGGGCTGCGAGCCCGTGGAGGAGGACCTGGCAACCGTGCGCCGCTGCTGGGAAGGCGGGGATGCGGCCGGGAGAAGGGAGCCGAAAGGGAAGGCGAGGAGCCGGCAGGCGGCGCTGCGAACGGCCGCGGGTTGCGCTGCGGGGCCTCGGTCCGCGGGGTTCCGGCGGTGGTTTTGCCTTCAAGTTTGCGCTCAAATGTGGGAGCGAAAGCGGTGGCGCTGCGGGGCTGCGGCGTTTGTGTGCTGCCAGCGGGGCCTCAGCCCTGGGGGGGGGAAAAGGGACGGGAGGAACGAAAAGCAAAGGCAGAGCGGAGCTGGGAGCCGAGCTGCTGGTGTCGCATGGAACGCGCGGACCTCGCCTCCAGCGCTGTGCGGAGCCGGCAGGAGCGTTTGTGCGCTGAGCTCCGCGGGTTCCGGCCAACGGAGGGGGGAACCGCGGGCCCGCAGCGCGGCTCGGGTTGGCAGGGAGCCGCGGGGCCGTGGAGCCCCGAGCGGCGGCAGGAGGCGGCGCGGAGCCGGGAGCCGACAGCTTTCGGCCTCTGCGGATGAGCGGCCGGAGCTGCGCCGCTGCTGCTGCACGGAGCCGCGTTGGTGCAGCGACGCACGGCGTCTGCGCTGCAGCTCTGCCCCACAGCGTGCAGAGCCCCCGGCTTCTGCGGCGGCCGCAGCCGCACCGAACCCTGCAGCAGCCGCTGCTTCGGAGCCGCGGAGCAGAGCGGCTGTTAATGACGTTAATTAGCGCTGATGCGGGATCCCGGCGCGCTGTGCGGGCGCTGAGGGTCGGGGCTGCGGGTGGGGAGCAGCGCGGGGAGGAGGCCGTGGGTTGGGGGGCCGCGATGCTCTTTGCTCTGCAGCTCCCACTTGCAGCTCCGTCGCACCGCGGCTCTTTGCTCCCCGCTCTCCCGTTTCGCCGCTCTTTGGAGCCGCTTCCAGCCCTCCTGGGCTCGCGGTGCCGCCGGGCCGTTGCTGGAGCCGCTTCGCACCCCGTCGGTTCTGCCGCCACCCGGAGCCGCTGCCGTTTCCAGCCGTGCCCCCAGCGCTGCCCCGGCGCCCCGTGCCCTCGGTCGGCCGCCACTCGCGCCCCGCAGGATCCCCGTCCCCGGACGCCTCCGCGCAGCCCAGCGCTGAGCTCCCCCCCCCCCCCCCGGCAGCGGCCCTCCTTTCCTTTTCCTCATCCCCTCCATCTCCCCTCACCTGCCCCCCTTAAGCTTTAATCCCCTCTCAGCAGCGCTGCCTAAAAAGTGACGAGGAGCGGCCCGGCTTACGGCCCAAAGCTGCTTTATGGCCGCCGTCATGCGCTGCGCTGCTGCTGCCCCCTTGTGCAAAGGCCGCCAGCCGTGGGGCTGTGCTACGGGGCTGTGCTGCCATGGGGCTGTGCTATAGGGCCATATTGCTATAGGGCCATATTGCTATAGGGCCATATTGCTATAGGGCTGTGTTGCTGTAGGGCCATATTGCTATAGGGCCATATTGCTATAGGGCCATATTGCTGTAGGGCCATATTGCTATGGGGCTGTATTGCTGTGGGGCCATATTGCTATAGGGCCATATTGCTGTAGGGCCATATTGCTGTGGGGCTGTATTGCTGTAGGGCCATATTGCTATGGGGCTGTATTGCTATAGGGCCATATTGCTATAGGGCTGTATTGCTGTGGGGCCATATTGCTATAGGGCCATATTGCTATAGGGCTGTATTGCTATAGGGCCATATTGCTATAGGGCTGTATTGCTGTAGGGCCATATTGCTATGGGGCTGTATTGCTGTAGGGCCATATTGCTATAGGGCCATATTGCTATAGGGCCATATTGCTATAGGGCTGTGTTGCTGTAGGGCCATATTGCTATAGGGCCATATTGCTATAGGGCCATATTGCTGTAGGGCCATATTGCTATGGGGCTGTATTGCTGTGGGGCCATATTGCTATAGGGCCATATTGCTGTAGGGCCATATTGCTGTGGGGCTGTATTGCTGTAGGGCCATATTGCTATGGGGCTGTATTGCTATAGGGCCATATTGCTATAGGGCTGTATTGCTGTGGGGCCATATTGCTATAGGGCCATATTGCTATAGGGCTGTATTGCTATAGGGCCATATTGCTATAGGGCTGTATTGCTGTAGGGCCATATTGCTATGGGGCTGTATTGCTGTAGGGCCATATTGCTATAGGGCCATATTGCTATAGGGCCATATTGCTGTAGGGCCATATTGCTATAGGGCTGTATTGCTGTAGGGCCCTATTGCTATAGGGCTGTATTGCTGTAGGGCCATATTGCTATAGGGCCATATTGCTATAGGGCTGTATTGCTGTAGGGCCCTATTGCTATAGGGCTGTGTTGCTGTAGGGCCATATTGCTATAGGGCCATATTGCTATAGGGCTGTATTGCTGTAGGGCCATATTGCTATAGGGCTGTATTGCTGTGGGGCCATATTGCTGTGGGGCTGTGCTGCCATGGGGCTGTGCTATAGGGCCATATTGCTCTAGGGCTGTATTGCTGTAGGGCCATATTGCTGTGGGGCCCTATTGCTGTGGGGCTGTGCTGCCATGAGGTTCTGCTGCCTTGGGGCCATGTTTCAGGGCCGTGCTTTATGGGGTAGCGCTGCTATGGGGCCGTGCTGCCGTGGGGCCGCGGGGCTGCGGGTCGGGGCGGCCGCGTGAGGCAGCGCTGCGCCCCCCCAGGTTCAGCAGCGTCTTCCCCAGCCTCAACATGGCGGTGAAGCGGCGCGAGCAGAGCCTGCAGGAATACCGGCGTCTGCAGGCCAGGGTGGAGAAGTACGAGGAGAAGGAGAGGAGCGGGCCGGCAGTGGCCAAACTGCACCAGGTGGGGGCGCTGTGGGAGTCGGCGTTATGGGGTCACCGTGGGGGTCAGCGTTATGGGGTCGTTATTATGGGGTCGCTATGGGGGTCAGTGTTATGGGGTCGTTGTTATGGGGTCGCTATGGGGGTCAGTGTTATGGGGTCACCATGGGGGTCAGCGTTATGGGGTCGTTGTTATGGGGTCACCATGGGGGTCAGCGTTATGGGGTCGTTGTTATGGGGTCACCATGGGGGTCAGCGTTATGGGGTCGTTATTATGGGGTCGCTATGGGGGTCAGTGTTATGGGGTTGTTGTTATGGGGTCGCTATGGGGGTCAGTGTTATGGGGTCGTTGTTATGGGGTCGCTATGGGGGTCAGTGTTATGGGGTCGTTGTTATGGGGTCGCTATGGGGGTCAGTGTTATGGGGTCGTTGTTATGGGGTCGCTATGGGGGTCAGTGTTATGGGGTCGTTGTTATGGGGTCGCTATGGGGGTCAGCGTTATGGGGTCGTTGTTATGGGGTCGCTATGGGGGTCAGTGTTATGGGGTTGTTGTTATGGGGTCGCTATGGGGGTCAGTGTTATGGGGTCGTTGTTATGGGGTCGCTATGGGGGTCAGTGTTATGGGGTCGTTGTTATGGGGTCGCTATGGGGGTCAGTGTTATGGGGTCGTTGTTATGGGGTCGCTATGGGGGTCAGCGTTATGGGGTCGTTGTTATGGGGTCGCTATGGGGGTCAGTGTTATGGGGTTGTTGTTATGGGGTCGCTATGGGGGTCAGTGTTATGGGGTCGGCGTTATGGGGTCACCGTGGGGGTCAGTGTTATGGGGTCGTTGTTATGGGGTCGCTATGGGGGTCAGTGTTATGGGGTTGTTGTTATGGGGTCGCTATGGGGGTCAGTGTTATGGGGTCGTTGTTATGGGGTCGCTATGGGGGTCAGTGTTATGGGGTCGTTGTTATAGGGTCACCATGGGGGTCAGCGTTATGGGGTCGTTGTTATGGGGTCGCTATGGGGGTCAGTGTTATGGGGTCGTTGTTATGGGGTCACCATGGGGGTCAGTGTTATGGGGTCGTTGTTATGGGGTCACCGTGGGGGTCAGTGTTATGGGGTCGTTGTTATGGGGTCGCTATGGGGGGGACATTATTGTGGGGTCATTATGGGGGGGTCAATGTGGGGATTGTGGGGCACAGATGTGGGGTTGGAGGCACAGATGTGGGGTTGTGGGGCAGTTGCTGCCCACGTCCCTCACTGCCCGCCGCCGGGGGTCCCATTGCTGTGCTGTGGGGTCACTGTGCGTCCCCCAGCCCCCCATTTCCCCCACAGGCCCGGGAGGAGCTGCGCCCGGTGAAGGAGGATTTTGAAGCCAAGAACCGGCAGCTGCTGGAGGAGATGCCCAAATTCTACAGCAGCCGCATCGATTACTTCAAACCCAGCTTCGAGGCGCTGCTCCGGGCACAGGTGGGACCCACAGCCCACAGCCCCACATCCCACAGCCCCACATCCCACAGCCCCGCATCCCACAGCCCCACATCCCACAGCCCCGCATCCCACAGCCCCACAGCCCCACAGCCCCACATCCCACAGCCCCACATCCCACAGCCCCACAGCCCCACATCCCACAGCCCCACAGCCCCACATCCCACAGCCCCACATCCCACAGCCCCGCATCCCACAGCCCCACAGCCCCACATCCCACAGCCCCACATCCCACAGCCCCGCATCCCACAGCCCCGCATCCCACAGCCCCACAGCCCCACATCCCACAGCCCCACATCCCACAGCCCCGCATCCCACAGCCCCACATCCCACAGCCCCACAGCCCCACATCCCACAGCCCCACATCCCACAGCCCCGCATCCCACAGCCCCACATCCCACAGCCCCGCATCCCACAGCCCTGCATCCCACAGCCCCACATCCCACATCCCACAGCCCCACATCCCACAGCCCCACAGCCCCACATCCCACAGCCCCACATCCCACAGCCCCACATCCCACAGCCCCACATCCCACATCCCACAGCCCCGCATCCCACAGCCCCGCATCCCACAGCCCCACATCCCACAGCCCCACAGCCCCGCATCCCACAGCCCCACATCCCACATCCCACAGCCCCGCATCCCACAGCCCCGCATCCTACAGCCCCACATCCCACAGCCCCACATCCCACAGCCCCACATCCCACAGCCCCGCATCCCACAGCCCCACAGCCCACAGCCCCGCATCCCACAGCGCCGCATCCCACAGCCCCACATCCTACAGCCCCACATCCCACAGCCCCACAGCCCCGCATCCCACAGCCCCACATCCCACAGCCCCACAGCCCCACATCCTACAGCCCCACATCCCACAGCCCCACAGCCCCGCATCCCACAGCCCCACATCCCACAACCCCACAGCCCACAGCCCCACATCCCACGTTCCCAGGCGCTGCCAGGCGCCGCTGTGTTGCTGCTTTGGGGTCTCACTTTGGGGTCGTGCTGCTCTCGGCGCAGACCCAGCCCGCGTCCCTTCCCGTCTCCCATCTCCTCCTGTGATTCGCTGCATCCTTTGGGGCCGACCCCACATCTCTGGGGCCCGGTGAGCATCCTGTGGGGTATCGTCTCCCCATGGGGCCGGGCAGCAGCTCCAGCTCTGTCCCAGCCCCGCTGCCATCCCCACGCTGTTAATTGGCCGTATTAATTAGTGAGTTATTAGAGCCTCCCCCTTCTGCCCACAGGGTGGCGCTGTGGAGGGCAGTGCTGCCTGTCCCTCTGCCCCATAGAGCACAGCGCCGTTCTGGGGCCAGCAGCGCCCCATAGAGCACAGCGCCGTTCTGGGGCCAGCGGTGCCGTTCCCACAGGTCGTGTTCTACTCAGAGATGAGGACCATTTTCGGGGACCTGACGGCGCAGATCGGCCGCCCGGCGCTGAGCGATGAGCAGCGGGAGCGCGAGAACGAGGGCCGCCTGGGGGAGCTGCGGGCGCTCAGCATCGTGGCTGATGACTGAGAGCCGGGGGGCAGCGCTGCGCCCCATCAACACTGCGCCCCACACACGCTGTGCCCCACAGAGGGTGGATGTGGGGCTGCAGCTTTGCCCTCCTGCAGAGGTTCCTCCTGGGGGTTGGGGGGCTGCAGGGTGGGCTGTGAGCCCCCCGTCCCCAAGTGCCCCCCTACGATCTGCCCCCCAGGTGCCTCCCCCCGTGACCGGTGCCTCTACATCTGTGCCCCCCTCCCCCATGCAGTGCCCCATAGCCGCCCTCCTTGGCCCCCCATCAATAAATAACGGGGGGGGGGGGGTGGAGAGGGGGGCAGTGACTCGATGACCCCCAACCCAGCTCCAATGCAGAGCCTCAGCCCCCTCTCCCCCCCCCTCCCGTGCCCCCTCGGGCTCCTTCTGACTCCCGCTGTCTCTTCGGAGCTCACGGGGGTCCCTGGGATCGCGCCCCCCCCCCAGGTGCGCATCATCGCCTGATTGACCGAGATGGCGTTTATTAACGAAGGCTGTTAATGAAACCGAGCGGCGGGGCGCTGAGCGGCTGCTGCCCCCTGCTGGCACCGCGCGGAACTGCAGGGGGCACCGCTGTGATCAGCGCCCCCCCCCCCCCCCCCCCCCCCCCCTTGGGGCGTCTGACGGGGGGAAAGGGTGGAAATGTGCGTAAAAGGATGGGAAATTGGGCAAAAAAGGCTTGGAGGCGTTTATTGGGGGATTGGGGTTGGGATCAGGGTTGGGGGGGGTGGGGATGGAGTTGGGGGTTGGGGGTCAGGGGGAGGGTGGTGCGGTTAGGGTCAGAGTTGGGGGTCAAGGTTGGGAGGGTCAGGATTGGGGTTAAGGTCAGGGTTGTGGGGTTGAGGGTTCGGGGGAGCGTTGGGGGGTCGGGGTCAAGGTTGGGGTCGGGGTTGCGGGGTCGGGATTAGGGCTAAGGTCTGGGTTGGGGGTCAGGGTTGGGGTCAGGGTGATGGGGTGAGGGCTGGGGTTAAGGGCTGGGTTGGAGGGTCGAGGTTAGGGGTCAGGGTCGGGGGTCAGGCTGAGCCGCAACGCAGCGTGGATCTGTGATGCTGCCCGGCCCCACGCCGTGTGGGGCGCCGCGCTGTGGGGCGGCCGTGGGTCAGCGACCCCGCAGCGAGCGCCGGGTGAGGCGGGTGAGCAGCACCTTCACCCGACCCCAATGCGAACGGCCGCCCTGTGGGGAGAGACTGCCGTCAGTGGGGCGGGGGGAACCCGCTGCCCCCAAGGTGTGCGCGCCCCACAAACCTTGTGGGGTGCCGGGGGGGCATCGGTGGGCTCCAGGAGGCTGGGGGAGCTGATCGAGTGCCCCCACTGCGCCCTGCGCCGGGCCGGGCTGTGCGCTGCGGGGGGAGACGACGGTGGGGCGGAGCGGAGGCAATGGGGACGGGACCCCCGGCAATGGGGCGCCCCCCCTCCCCGTTCACCCACCTGCCGCGTGGCTGTCGGAACACGAACGCGTCCGGAACGGCTCCGCTCTGCCCGTCCCCAAACCCCCACCTCCGTCGCTTGGGGGTCGCGGTGGGGCGCGCAGAGATCCGGGACCCCCGCCGCCCCGCTGCCGGAGCTGCCGGTTGTCCTCCTGCAGCCGCGCCAGGCGCTCCAGCGTCCGGCAGAGCAGCTCCAGGTACCGCAGCCCCTGAGCCGGCGGCACCGCGCCGGGGGGGGCGGCGACCCCGGTGTCGCAGCTCCTGGGATCCCCGTCGCCGCGAGCTTTAGGGCCCCCGGTGCCGCCTTCCTTGAGGCCCCCGACGCGGCGCTCCTGGGGGACCCCGTCCTGATGCCCCTTGGGGCCGCCGTCGCCACGCGGCTGGCAGAACTGGCAGAGCCCCGAGCCGCGGGCTTTGGGGTCCCCAGCGGCACAGGGTTTGGGGACCCCGCAGCCGCGCTCCTTGGGGACCCAAACGCCGGAGGTTTGGGGGACCCCAACGCCGCGATCTTTGGGGACCCAAACGCCGTGGTCTGTAGGGACCTCGAAGGCGCAGTTTTTGGGGGCGCCGTCGCCTTTCTCCTCGGGAACCCCGGCGCCGCGCTCCTTGGCTCCCGATCGGCTCCCGATGCCGCGGGCTTTGGGATCCCCGCAGTCTTTGGGGTCTCCGCCGCCGACGCTGCGCCATCGCTGCCTGCGGATGCGGCTGCGGGGCTCCCGGGGGGGGTCGGCGCCGCGTCCCCTTTGGGGTCTCCCGGCCGCGTCCCCACAGACGCCGCTCCCGGCCCCCCCCGCGCTTCGGGCCGGGCTTTCGGTGCCGCCCGTCTCCAGGCCGGAGTCCCCAGGTTCGGATTTACCGGGGGGGGCGGCGGGGCTCCAGCGGGGGTCGTCGTGAAGCCGTCGGTAAACGCTGCGGGGGGGGGGCGGCGTGCAGCCCTGCGCCTCGCGGGGGGCATCTGTGGGGCGGGACGGGGGGGGGCGCGTGGGGCCCGGTGCCACCCTATGGGGCTCCAGTGACCCCATGCGGGGGCTGCGGGTGGCTCTGTGCAGCCGGGTGACCTCATGTGGGGTCTCTGGGTGGCAGCAAAGAGGGTCGCCAGGAGCCGCCACACCAGGTCCCCGGTGACGTGATGGGGTCCCGGGTGGCGCTACATGGGGTCTCCATACAGGGGTCTCTGGTGCCACCACGTGGGGTCCCCAGGTGACAGCATTTAGGGTCTGATGGCACCATGCGGGGTCCCCAGGCGACACCACACAGAGTCTCCTGCTGGCTCTGCGTAGGCTCTCCGGGTGGCTCTATATGGGGTCTCCAGGTGACATTATATAGGGTCCCAGCTGCCACCATACAAGGCCTCTGGGTGGCTCCACATGGGGTCTATGGGTGGCACATATGGGGTCCCCGTGTGCCACCATGTAGGGCCCCCAGGTTCTATAGGGTCCCCACGTGGCCCCACCCCACAACCACCGCCTCCCATCGCCCCCCAATCTGTGGGGCTGCACCTCTCAGGACCCCCCCCCCCCCGCAACATCGCACGGCGCCCCTCCATGGGGCGGCCCTACAGCCGCCCCCCCGCCCCCCACACTCACAGCAGCTGAATCTCCTCTTCCAGACGCCGCCGTTCGCACCCCACATCTCCGGCTGCGCCCTACAGCCGCCCCATCCCCTGCAGCCGCCCCATCCCATCCCCTGCGGCCCCGCAGCGCCGTCGCCCGACTGGTTCCCGACTGGTTCCCGACTGCGTGTGGGAGGGGAGGAGGGCCGCTATGGGGCGGCGGCAGCCGTGGGGTTTGGGGGCGGGGAGGGGTTTTGGGGTGGGGGGGGGAAGCGGTTCTAAGGGACAAAGGGCGCTTTGAGGGCGCGAATGCCAGCAATGCGGCGCCCACCGGAGCTGCGCCCACAGCGCGACGGGGGGGAGCAGAAAACCCCACGGAATTGGGGGGGGAGGGGGGGCCGCTTCCCAATGCAAACCTGCAGGGTTGGGGGAGGGAGGGGGAGCAGCCAGAAAACCCCACAGGTTGGGGGCACGGGGGTCTGAGCCACAAAAAACCCCACAGACTGGGGGGCCGGGGGCTCCCGGCCAGGAAAAATCCCATTCATTGGGGTGGGATGGGGGTCCCTCCCCACAAAAGCCCCACAGATCGAAGGGGGACGGTTCCTTTTCTGTAAAGGCCCCATAGATTGGGGGGGGATGGGGGTCTTTCCCCACCGAAACCCAACCAAGAGGGGCTCCTCACCCAGGAGAAACCCCACAGGTTGAGGGGGGTGGGGGTCAAAGCCCCACAGCACACAGCAGCTTCCCCACCACCCCCCCGCTGCACCCCACAACTGCCCCCACCCCACACAGCCCCACGTGAGCGCCGACGCACGGGGCTGAGCTGCCTTTAATGGGGGACAGAGCAGAGCTGGGACCCACAGCAGTGGGGCAGGGAGGCAGCATGGAAGCACAGGGGCACAGCGAGGTCCCAGGATCGGCCGCTGCTTGGGGCACCACAGGGCTGGGAGGAACTGGAGGCACTTTGGCCCCAGAGATGTGTGGGGTGGCAGCGGCTCACAGCGGGGCCACGTAGTTCCCAGGGAACGTCCCGAATTGCTGCGTCCTCTGGGAAACTCCTGGGGGCGGCGTGAGTGGGGCTGCATTGTCCCCATCCCACCCCATTGATCCCATCCCATCCCATTGATCCCATCCCACCCCATCCCATCCCATCCCATCCCATTGTCCCCATCCCATCCCATTGTCCCCATCCCACCCCATTGATCCCATCCCACCCCATTGATCCCATCCCATTGATCCCATCCCATCCCATCCCATCCCATCCCATCCCATCCCATCCCATCCCATCCCACCCCATTGATCCCATCCCACCCCATCCCATCCCATTGATCCCATCCCATTCCCACCCCATCCCACCCCACCCCACCCCTGCACCCCACACACCCACAAACCAGCCGTCATCGCAGCACTGCAGCACATCCACGCGCTCCCCCTCCCTCAGTTCCAACTCGTCGCCGTTTTGGGGTCGGTAGTCGTACAGCACGCGATGCCTGCAGGGCAGCCACAGTGCGGGGGGGTCCTGACCCACAGCGGGGCGTCGGCACCCCCCAAACTTACGGGGTCCATCGGATCTCGGAGCCGAGGTGGGGGGAGGTGGGCTGGGGGTGCGGGGCTGATCCTCCTGCGGATGGGGGCTGCGCGGGGAGAAGGGAGAGGTCACGTAGGGCTGCCCCTATGGGGCGATAGGGGGCCGCTCCTACGGGGTACGGGGCTGCCCTATAAGGGCAATGTGGGGCAACCCCATTTAGAGCACAGGGACGGCTGATAGGGGGCACCATTGATGGCGTGATGTCGGGCCGCCCCTATAGGGCCGATGGCTGGGGGCCGCTCACCTGCTTTTGGGGCCCCACAGAGGGGTTCGGTGCAGCGGGGCCGGCGTGGGGGGGGAGATCCTGGTGCCGAGGGGAGGGCGGGCGCCCGGCGGGGTCAGCAGGGCCCTGCTTTGCGCCCACCTGTGGGGCTGGGGGCTGGTGGGCTGTGGGGCCGCCCCCCGGCTCGCGGTGCACACACAGGAAGCAGCGGGGAGCCAGGCCACGGCGCCCAGCGCCCACAGGTTGTGCTTCGTACCAATGGGCGTCAATGCGGCGCAGCAGGGAGAGCTGCTCACCCTGCAGGGACAGCATGGCACGGCTTGGCACGATATGGAACAGTGTGGCACGATATGGCATGATATGGAACGATATGGCATGATATGGCACGATATGGCACGATATGGCATGATATGGCATGATATGGAACGATATGGCATGATATGGAACAATATGGAACGATATGGCATGATATGGCACGATATGGCACGATATGGCATGATATGGAACAATATGGAACGATATGGCATGATATGGCACGATATGGCACGATATGGCACGATATGGAACAATATGGAACGATATGGCATGATATGGCACGATATGGCACGATATGGCATGATATGGAACAATATGGAACGATATGGCATGATATGGCATGATATGGAACGATATGGCATGATATGGAACGATATGGAGTGATATGGAATGATATGGAGTGATATGGCATGATATGTAACGATATGGAACAATATGGAGTGATATGGCACAATATGGCACGATATGGAACAATATGGCACGATATGGCACGATATGGCATGATATGGAACGATATGGCACGATATGGCATGATATGGCATGATATGGAACGATATGGAGCCATATGGCACAGCTTGGTGCAGCATGGCACAACAAACACACCCCAACATGCACCAACATGTAAGAACACACAACAACACGCCCCAACACATTTCAACGTGTGTTGGAATCCCCACACGCCCAAACGTGCCCCAACACGCAATAACACACCCCAACATGCCATAGCACACCACAACACGCAATGTCACGCCCCCAACACTCCCTAGCACATACTAACACTCCACAACACGTCCTAACACTCTATAACACGCTATAACAATCCATAACACGCCATAGCACACCATAACATGCCCTAACATGCTGTAACACGCCATAACACGCCATAACACTCCATTGCATGCCATAACATGCCATAACACACTGTAACACGCTGTAACACACGATAACATGCCATAACACGCCATAACACGCCATAACACGCCATAACACTCCATTACACACCATAACACTCCATTACACACCATAACACACTGTAACACGCTGTAACATGCCATAACACACCATAATATGCTATAACACACCATAACACACCATAACACTCCATTACATGCCGTAACACGCCATAACACGCTGTAACATGCTGTAACACGCTGTAACACGCCATAACACGCCATAACACGCTGTAACACGCCATAACACGCCATAACACGCCGTAACACGCCATAATACGCCATAACACGCTGTAACATGCCGTAACACGCCATAACACGCCATAGCACGCCATAACACGCCATAACATGCCATAACACGCCATAACACGCCATAACATGCCATAACACACCATAACACGCCATAATACGCCATAACACGCCATAACATGCCATAACACACCATAACACGCCATAACACGCCATAACACGCCATAACACGCCATAACACGCCATAACACGCCATAACACGCCATAACACACCATAACACGCCATAACACGCCATAACACGCCATAACACGCCATAACACGCCATAACACGCCATAACACGCCATAACATGCCATAACACGCCATAACACGCCATAACACGCCATAACACGCCATAACACGCCATAACATGCCATAACACACCATAACACGCCATAACACGCCATAACATGCCATAACACACCATAACACGCCATAACACGCCATAACACGCCATAACACACCATAACACACCATAACACGCCATAACACACCATAACACGCCATAACACACCATAACACGCCATAACACACCATAACATGCCATAATACGCCATAACACGCCATAACACGCCATAACACGCCATAACACGCCATAACACACCATAACACGCCATAACACGCCATAACACACCATAACACGCCATAACGCCCCGCCACGCTCACCCTGCGGAAGCTGAGCTCTACAGGCAGCTCCCCATGGAAGCTGAACACGGCCGTCGCGCAGCCCTGCGCTGCCGCTGGGGTCCCAGGTTGCGTTGCTTCTCCGGGGGGCAGCACCTATGGGAAGGGGGGGGAAAAGAGGGGGTCGGCACCCCGCCACGCGTGCGCCCCCCCCCCCACCACGCGTGTGCCCCCCGTCACCTCCACGTATGTGCGTGGGAAGATGCCCACGCGGCCGCCATGCTCCCCGCGCAGCCAGTTGGCGTCAACAGCGCCGTGCAGCAGCACCACGTCGCCCCTGCGCAGCGACAGCTCCCTGCGGGCAGCAGCGCCGTGGGGCAGCAGGACGCCGGCCCCACATGTCCCCAGCCCCACATGTCCCCAGCCCCACATGTCCCCGGCCCCACGTGTCCCCAGCCCCACGTGTCCCCAGCCCCACGTGTCCCCGGCCCCACATGTCCCCAGCCCCACATGTCCCCAGCCCCACATGTCCCCGGCCCCACATGTCCCCAGCCCCCCGTGTCCCCAGCCCCACATGTCCCCAGCCCCCCGTGTCCCCGGCCCCACGTGTCCCCAATCCCCTCTGGTCACCCCAATGCAACGTCCCCACGTGTCCCCAGCCCCCTGCTCTCAGCTGCCCCCGACCCCAGGTGGCGCCCGCTGGTCCCAATCCCAGATGTCTCCAACCCCAGGTGACATCACGGGTCCCCAACCCCACGTCCCCAGCGCCACGTGTCCCCAAATGTCCCCAACCCCAAACGGCACCGGGTCGCCCCAACCCAACATCCCCAGGTGTCCCCTGCCCCATATTCTCAGATGCCCCCAACCCAATGTCCCGAGTGTCCCCAGCCCCACATGTCCCCAAGTGTCCCCAACCCCATCTGGTTCTCGGTGTCCCCAGCCCCCAACCCAGGTGTCCCAGCCCCACAAGTCCCCCACCCTGAGTAGCACCAGGTCACCCCAACGCCCCCAGGTGTCCCCAGCCCCACATCCCCAGGTGTCCCCAGCCTCCCCACCACGGTGACACGGGGGCAGACCTGGGGGACTCGGCACGGAAGTCAAACTTGAGGCGTGCGGCCGCCATCTGTGGGGCACAGAGGGGCTGCTGGTGGGGCGCAGCAATGGGGCGCTGCCCCCCCCGGCCCCATAGAGGACATTTTGCCTCACCTGCGCTGCACCGCGGGCGGGCGCTGCGGGGGTCCCCAAATCCGCTGCGATGGGGAGGGCGGGGGGCGGGGGGGGCTCTGCAAAGGGACACCGGGGGGGGAGGGGGGGGTCTGCAAAGCGGTGCCACGGGGGGGGGTGACAGCAAGGGGGAGTCGGGGGGGGGGGGGAGGGCTCACCTCTGCCGCTCTGCTCAACGGAGCCCCCCGTGGGGACAGCGGGGGGGCGGCCCTGCAGCCCATGGGGGGACAGCGCGCTCCTGGGGAGGGGGGGACAACGGTGGGGGGGTGATGTGCCACCCTGTGCCCCCCCCCCCAACAGCTACTGCCCCATGGAACGAGCAATGGGGAGCCCTGTGGGGGGGCACAGAGTGTGCAGGGAAAGACGTGTGGGGCAGAGCGGGATGTGTGGGGCGGGGGGGGGGGGGAGGGTGCAGGCTGATGGGTGTCCTTAAAGAGCCCCAGGGTGCCCCATAGCGCTGTGGGTTTGGGGCTGTTTGGGGTCAGTGATTCTTTGGGGTTTGGGGGCTTTGGGGTCGTGGCGCCGTACTCACAGCGGGGCCGTGGGGGTCGGCGATGCTCTGCGGGCGCTGCGGGCAGCGGGGCTCTGTGGGGCAGCGGGGGGGGAATCCCGTGTTGGATGGCACCGAACCGCCCCACGTGCTGCCCGGTGCTGGGCACAGCTGGGCGGCCACATCTGGCACACATCTGGATAACCCCCCCCTCCCCCCCAGTCCTGCCCCCAGCTGCCCATAACGCTGCCCCATAGCGCTGCCCCCAGCCCCAATACCTGCTGCAGCCGCTCCATGGCACGAATGTCCTCATCCAGTTCAGCGCTCAGCTGTTCCAATTCCCGCTGCAGCTGCACCTGGGAGGGCAGCGCATTGGGGTCACCCCATAGGGCAGCGCATTGGGGTCACCCCATAGGGCAGCGCATTGGGGTCACCCCATAGGGCAGCACATTGGGGTCGCCCCATAGGGCACAGCATCCCAGATCCATCCCACACAGCGCCACCTCCCAGCGTCGCCCCATAGAGCAGCGCATTGGGGTCACCCCATTGGGCAGCACATTGGGGTCGCCCCATAGGGCAGTGCATTGGGGTCACCCCATTGGGCAGCGCATTGGGGGCACATTGGGGTCACCCCATAGAGCAGCACATTGGGGTTGCCCCATAGGGCAGTGCATTGGGGTCACCCCATAGAGCAGCACATTGGGGTCGCCCCATAGGGCAGCGCATCCCAGCACGGCCCCACAGGGCTCCACTTCCCGAGGTCACCTCACAGAGCCCCGCATCCTGGTGTCCCCCCGCAGGGCGCAGGGGGGCTGTGGGGCAGGGCAGCACCGTACCTCGATGGGCTGCAGCGCAGGCGCAGCTCTGGGGGGCTGCAGAGGGGATGCGGGCTCACGGTGCGTGGATCCCACACTGCTGTGGGGCGCCCCACGGTGAGCTGCCACCTGCCCACGCCGTGCCGGCGCCGTGCCACCTCCGTACTCGAAGATGCCGCCCGGCTCCGCGGTGCCATCGGCGTCGCCCCACGGGGTCCTGGGGGGCAGCGGCCTCTGAGCCCCCCCTGCGTGTCACACGGAGCCCCCAAACCCACCCGGAGCTGAGCTCACCGCTCCGAGCCGTTGGGCAGCGCAGGAGGATCCAGGGGTGGTTGAGATGTCTGCAGATCTGAGGGGGGGCGAGAAGTGGGATGTGGGGTGGGGTGGAGTGGGATCAGTGGGGTGGGATGGGATGGGATGGGATGGGATCAGTGGGGTGGGATGGGATGGGGTGGGATGGGGTGGGATGGGATGGGGTGGGATGGGATGGGATCAGTAGGATGGGATGGGATGGGATGGGATCAGTGGGGTGGGATGGGATGGGGTGGGATGGGGTGGGATGGGATGGGATGGGATGGGATGGGATGGGATGGGATGGGATGGGGTGGGATGGGATGGGATCAGTAGGATGGGATGGGGTGGGATGGGATGGGATGGGATGGGATGGGATGGGATCAGTAGGATGGGATGGGATGGGATGGGATGGGATGGGATGGGATGGGATGGGATGGGATGGGATGGGATGGGATGGGATGGGGTGGGATGCAGGCACTGTTGGGGTCCCACACGAGCAGGATCTCACCTGCAGTGCAGCACGGTGTGTCCCACTCCGGTTCTGCAGAAGGAAGAGAAGGGGCTGAGCGGGGCCCCGCAGCGCCATGTTGTGCCCCGCAGCGCCCCGCAGCGCCCCGCAGCGCCCCACGGCCGCAGGCGCTGCCATCCTTGCTCACCCGGCAGCTTGCCGTGGATCTGCTGGAACATCCTGCGGTACCAATCCCGGGGCCGATCCACGCTCTGTGGGGCGCGGTGGGGCGGTGAGGAGGGGTCCAGCGATGCCTCCCCCCCCCCCCCATTGCTCTCACTCACAGAACGCGAGGCCAGCGGCAGCCCCGTCTCGTCCACCGGCCCGATGCCGTCGTACTTCACCCAGCGCCGCTCCCGACGCCGGCCGTCCTCCGTCCACGTGGCCGAGCAGCCCGGGGGGGGCGCGGCGCCCTCCATGGGGCCTGGGGGGCGGGGGGGGTCTGATGGGTGCCCGGGGGTCCCGGGGTGGCCGGGTCCGGTGCTGCGCGTTGGCTGAGGGTGAGGAGGGAGAGGGGCTCCCGCGGGCGGCCCTGGGCGGCCCCGGTGGGCTCCAACGGGGGCCCCCGAGCGACTCGAACCGGGCTCTCAAGGCGGCCCCGGCCGTCCCCCAATGGGCTCCCATGGGGCCCGCGGTGCGAATCCCCCGGCCGCCCCCAGCGGGGACCCTGGGCGCTCCGCAGCACCGTCACTGGGGTCCCGGGGGCGTCCCGCATCCCCGCGGTGCGGCGCGGAGCCCCGGCTGCGTTCTGCAGCGATAACGGAACCAACAGCGGCGGCTCCGCGCGGCCCTTCCGCAACCGACGGCTCGACTTCGAGGCGGGGGCCCAAAAACAAAACCCAGCCCCCCCTCCCCAAGGGAAAACCGAAAACCCCGCCCGGAGCGGAACGGGACGCGGCGCCTCCCCGCCCCGCAGAGCAAACAGGGCGGGCGGAGCGGGCAGAGTGCGGCGTGAGTCACGGCGGGGTGGGGGCGCCCAGGGCCGGGACCCCCGGACCCCCCGGCCTCGGGCACCGCGGGCGGCTCCGGCGCCGTTTGGGGGCGGCTCTTCGGGGCCGGGGTCTCCCCTCTCCCCCCCCCCCCCCCCCCCCCGACGTCGCCACGTCGCGCCCCGCTGGGACCCTCGGTGCGGGCTCCCCCCCCCCCCCGCACGGCGCGGTTCGCCCTTCGCCCCGACGGCCCCGCGCTCTGCCCGCACCGCCCCACGTCCCGCACTCCCCCCCCCCGCGCCCCGCACCGAGCGGACGGCAGAAAGGCCGCGTTCCCAACCCCGCTCCGGAGGCCCCAAAACTCCGCACCCCCTCCCCCCCAGCCCCCTCCGGCTCCGGGACCCCCCGCCCGCCCCGCGCCGCCCGCACACCCCGCACCTTTTGGGGTGACCCCCCCCGCACCCACCCCGCTCCGCAGCCGCCCCGTTCCGCGCTCGCAGCGACATTCCCGGCCCGGGATCCCGGAGCGGAGCCAAGCGCTGAGCTCAGCCCACGCCCCGCACACGCTGACGCCGCGGGGACAACCCGGCCCCGCCGCACCGCCCCGCACCGCCGCCGTCGGGACAGAGCGGGGCAGCGACCCCCGGCGCCGTCGCCGGGCTGCGGGCGACGCGGTGCCTCCTCGTCCCACCCCAACCCCCCCCCCCGGCGGGGATCTCCTGGCTGGGCTGGGGGCTCGGGGGGGTTGGTTGGGGCCGGAGTGGAGAAAGGGGGCTCCCGACTCCTGCATGGGGCCACGGCCCCATCCCCATCCCGTTCCTGTTCCATCCCACCCCAAATCCCACCCCATCCCATCCTGTCCCACCCCCCCTCGCTCCCCCTGGGCTCTGAGCTCTGTGTCCCGCTCCCCCCCCCCCCCCCCCCCAAGGCTCATTTCCCATTTTTGCCATCCCCAAAAGCGCTGACGGCCCCAAAAGGCAGCAGCTCCATCCCACGTGAGCTCTGGCTGTGGGATTTCATCACCAGCACGGTGCCACGGGACAGAAATGGGGACGGTGGGCCACCAACGGGGATATGGGGCCAACGAGGGGGTCCCGGGGCCACCAGTGGGGGTATGGGGCCACCACAGGGCACAGGGAGGCCCAGCATCACACAGGGGACAAAGGTGACACGGGACAACCACAGGGCTGCACCTCTGTGCCACACGGTGCGAGGAAGGGAAGGGATAAATAGAAGATGGATTGGGATGAGGGATGGGGATGGATGGAGGCTGGGTAGATTGGGTTGAGAGCTGGAGGGAAGGGATGGATGGAAGATGGATGGGGTGGGATGAGGGATGGAGGGAGGCTGGGAATGGAGGAGGGATGGAGGAGGGATGGAGGAGGGATGAGGGATGGAGGAGAGATGGGTTGGGATGAGGGGTGGATGGAGCAAGGATGGAGGAGGGAGGAGGGATGGAGGAGGGATGGAAGAGGGATGAAGGATGGACTGAGGAGGGATGGGTTGGGATGAGGGATGGATGGAGCAAGGATGGAAGAGGGATGAAGGAGGGATGGAGGAGGGATGAGGGATGGAGAAGGGATGGGTTGGGATGAAGGATGGATGGAGGAAAGATGGAAGAGGGATGAAAGAGGGATGGGGATGGATGGAGGAAGGATGGAGGATGGGGGTGGGTGGGATGGATGGAGGCTGGATAGATTGGGTTGAGAGCTGGAGGGAAGGGATGGATGGAAGATGGATGGGGTGGGATGAGGGATGGAGGGAGGCTGGGAACGGAGGAGGGATGGAGGAGGGATGGAGGAGGGATGGAGGGATGGATTGGGATGAGGGATGGATGGAGGAAGGATGGAGGAGGGATGGAGGAGGGATGGAGGAGGGATGGAGGAGGGATGAAGGATGGATGGAAGATAGATGAAGGATGGAGGAGGGATGAAGGATGGATGGAGGAAGGATGGAGGATGGGGGTGGGTGGGATGGATGGAGGCTGGGTAGATTGGGTTGAGAGCTGGAGGGAAGGGATGGATGGAAGATGGATGGGGTGGGATGAGGGATGGAGGGAGGCTGGGAACAGAGGAGGGATGGAGGAGGGATGGAGGAGGGATGGAGGAGGGATGGAGGGATGGATTGGGATGAGGGATGGATGGAGGAAGGATGGAGGAGGGATGGAGGAGGGATGGAGGAGGGATGGAGGATGGATGGAAGATAGATGAAGGATGGAGGAGGGATGGAGGAGAGATGGGTTGGGATGAGGGATGGATGGAGCAAGGATGGAGGAGGGATGAGGGAGGGATGGAGGAGGGATGAGGGATGGACGGCGCAGGCTCAGCACAGCGCAGCCCGGCGCCCCGCAGCCCAGCTGTGCCCCCCTCCCCCCTGCGCCCCCCAACGAACCACAGTGGAGCCGAGCGATGCAGCCGTTCTGCTTTGTTGCTTTGCTTTTGGTTTGGTGTTTTTTAACTTATTTTCCCTTTTTTTTCCCTCCCTCCCTCCTTTACAGCTGATTCGGGTCGGCGCCGAGGGCGGCTCACACAAATCCACGCCTCGCTCACAAAAAACAAACAAAACTCTATTAAATATTTCTGCCAATAAATAACGTTGCCACCGTTGGTTTTTGCCTTTCTTTCTTTCTTTGTTTTTTTTTTTCTTCCCTTTCAACAGAGCTAAAAAACAAAAAATAAAATAAAATAAAATAAAAGCAAGAAATGAAATCAAATCCAATACGATACGATACGATACAAAGGAGGCGACTGCAGGCCGGGGGGGGGCTGGGCTGCACTGAGACCCCCAGCCTGGCGCCGCCTCCCCTCCCCATCACATGCACCTCTGCTACCACATGCAAACACCCAAATGGGGGGGGGAGACGTGGGGCTGGGGGGCAGCGCTTCCCACCTCCTCCCATGGCAGCCTCTGCACACAGACCCCCATCGGACCCCCCTGTGACCCCAAACTGTGCTGGCAGCAATGGGGGAGGGCCCCAAAAAGCAAAGGAGCCCCAAAAGGTGAAGGCGGGGTGGGTGGGAATGAAGGGAAGGGGGTGAAAAAGATGCGAAGGGTCTCAAAAAGGTGCAGATGGAGGGGGGGGGGATCGAAGAGGAAGGGGCCCAAAAAGATGGGAGGGGGGTCAAAAAAGAAGGGCCCCAAAAAGATGGGGGGGGGGGGGGGGGTCGAAAAGGAAGAGGCTCAAATAGATGGAGGGGGGAGAATCGAAGAGGAAGGGGCCCAAAAAGATGGGGAGGGGGATTGAAAAGGAAGGGCCCCAAAATGATGGAGGGGGGGGGATCCAAAAAGAAGGGCCCCAAAAAGTGAAGGACCCCAAAAAGGCCGATGTGCAGTGAGGGCCCCAAAGTGAAGGACCCCACAGAGATGGGATGGGGGGAGGCAAAGCGAAGGACCCAAAGATGAAGGTGGAGTGGAGGATCCAAAGCGAGGGGCCCGAAAAGCTGCAAATGAGCCCAAAAAGATGGAGATGGGAGAGGTGGAGGCAAAGGGAAGGAGCCCAAAAAAACCAGGTATCCCAAAAGAACACAGATGGGACGGGGGCAGCCAAAGGGAAGGAGCCCGAAAGGACGCAGATGGGACCCAAAGGACCCGAAACAAAATGAAGGTGCCCAAAAAGGTGGAGATGGGATGGGGGGGAACCAAAAGGAAGGAGCCACAGAGGGATGCAGGTGGAGCGGGGGACCCAAAGGGTCCCAAAGAGCTGGAGGTGGGATGGGGGGGATCCGAAAGGAGCCCAGGGAGATGCAGATGGAGGGGGGGGATGGGAGCGCTGCCTCCCCCCTGCTTTGGGACCCGAGGGTTCAGCAGGGCTGAAGGACGGGGGGAGCACGGAGCAGCAGGAGGCCCAGCAGGGCCAGGCTGGGGGCTGCCGGGGAGCAGCGCAGCGCCTGCAGCAGCGCCCTGCACCGGGGCCGGCTTCTCAACCTCCGAAAAAAGGGGCTATTTGATATATATGTGTGTGTGTGTATGTACATATATATATATGGAACATAAATTAGAACCCAAAGAAACAGGACGGGCACCTGGCGACATGCGGACGGGAGCGCGGCGGTGCCTGCGGCTGAAAGCGGCTCCCCCCAACCCCCCCCCCCCCCCCCCCCCATCCCAAATATCAATAAATAAATAAAATCTGAGGGCCGCTGCCAGGCGCCGTTAGGGGCTCTTCTTGCCGTTGTTCTTGTCGGCAGGGCTGGGGCTGGGGTGGAGGTGCAGCGCCCCGTCGGCGTGCAGCGAGTCCCGGCGTGGCGGCATGCGCTCGTTGATGCGGTCCAGACCCCGAGCCTCCTCGAAGCTGCGGATCTTGTGCTGCGGGGAGAAGCCCCGGATGGCTGCAGGGGGGGGAAAAGAGGGCGGGGGGGTCATAGAATGGCTTAGAAAAGGACCGCGATGCTCAGCCGCTTCCGACCCCCCTGCTGTGTGCAGGTCGCCAACCAGCAGCCCGGGCTGCTCAGAGCCGCATGCGGCCCGGCCCTGAATGCCTGCAGGGCTGGGGCACCCACAGCCTCCTTGGGCGGCCTGTGCCAGTGCCTCACCGCCTCTGGGGGAAAAACTTCCTCCTCACATCCATCCTAAAGCTCCCCGCCTCACTTTAAAACCGTTCCCCTTGTCCCATCACCACCCCCCGTCCCCCTCCTGTTTATCCGCTCCTGGACGCCACCACAGGTCTCCCTGCAGCCTTCCCTTCTCCAAGCTCAACAAGCCCAGTTCCCGCAGCCTCTCCTCACGCTGAGCTGCTCCAGCCCTCTGCTCACGTCCAGCTTCTTGCCCCCCAGGAGCCCCTGTGCGCAGGGCTGCTCTCAAGGAGCTCCTCCCCAGCCTGTGCCAATACAGACGGGGTCGGATCGCCCCGACCCAACGCCGTGCTGGACCTCGGGAGGTTCTGGTGGGCCCAACTTCTGCAGCCCGCCCAGGGCCCCCTGCACGGCTTCCTGCCCTCCAACGCCTCGGCTGCAGCGCTCGGCTCGGCGCCGGCCACAAACGCTGAGGGCGCAGAGATGCTGGATGAGTCGGGCTGGGGGATGCAGGCAGAAGGGCTCTGCGGTTGGGGGGCAGGAACCCAAAGGTCTGGGGGCAGAAGGGGGGGGGGGAAATCAGTGCAGCCCACATCCCTGCTCACCCCCCCCCCGCTCACAGCGCATCCCGGCAGCTTTGGGTGCCAACCAAACCCCACGGCAGCAAAGCAACGCAGCCGCAGCGCTCAGAGCCCAGCGCGGCACACGGCAACCCAGCAAACACACAGCGCTTCTGGCCCCAGCAGGAGGCGCAGCCCACGGGGAAACAACACCTGGCAGCAAAAGCTGCCCCCGGGCACCAATGGGGGGAACAAAAAGAGGCGCTGCACCAAACAGCGCAGCAAGGATTGGGCCGGTTTGCAAATCAGCTTCCAGCAGCCTGCATGGAAGGTCCTCCCTGCGCAGGGAGCCGCTGTCCTGCGTCAGGACGTTGTTTGCGAGGGGAGAACAGGGCTCCTCAAGGAGCAGCCGGCCCTCCTGCGGGGAGCAGCGATGCTGTGAGCAGTGCGCAGCCCGCTCTGCCCCTGGCCCTTGGGCCCTGCGGGGGATTTGGGGTTGGCGGCGCTGAGCTGCGAGGCTCAGAGTTCATTACAGAGCCGAAGGCTGGGCATTGGGCACCTCCTGGTGAAGCCAGAGCCGAGGGAGGCAGGGAAGCTCTCTGAGATGCACACACACACACTTTGGTCTCTCGGGCCGTACCTTCCCGTGCCTCTACCGCTTCTACTGTGGCTGCGAAACAGAAGAAGAGTGGCATGCAGAAACGGAGACAGAAAAACAAGAAGAGCAGCAGTGAGTGATCCAACATCAGCGCCGAGCCCACGGAGAGGAGGGGACAGAGCAGAGCGGGAGCCCCGGAGCACAGGAGGGAGCAGAGAACGGAACCCCAACCTCCAAGGAGGGGCCGGAGCTTCCGACGCACCCAGCTGCACCCACGGGAGCGCAGCCAGGCAGCGCAGCTCAGCCCTCCAAGACCCCATCCCCAAAAAGTGGCACTTTTGGCTTTGGACGCAGCGCAGAGGAGCGGCGCGGAGCATCGTGGCTCTGCGTTCGGTGGCTCAATGTGGGGCTGGGGGCTGCAAGGATGGTAAAGGTCTGCAAAGGGAAACCCCCACCCCCACCCCACGGCCGCTCTGAGCCCAGCGGGGTCTCGGCGCACCCAGGGGTGGAGCAGCAGCCCCTCCTGCGCTGCACCTCCCGCAGGGTTGCAGCGGGGCCCAGCCGTGCAGTGGCAGCGCATCGTGGCTGCGGCACAGGGCTCACAGCAGAACGAACGGAGCTGGGCTCAGAGACACAGAACGGCGCCCGGCCGTGAGCTCAGCACTGCCTGCGGCTCCCAGGGGCCCCCGCACCCCGACCGGCGCCGCAAATCCTGCCCTCCCCCCTCCACCCCCCGACCCCCAGCTCGCAGCCGACGGAGTGGGGCAGAGCCAGAGGCGCCATGGGGGCACGGCGTGGGACTCACCGGTCTGCAGGGTCTGCCTCCCCCCGGACAGCACGCCCAGGGGCAGCGTGCCTGTGGGGGTCAGGCCCTTCAACGTCAGCACGCTCTCGCTCTCCTCTCTGCAAAGGAAGGCGATGCGGCGTCAGCAGGTGACGTGTGTGGGAAATCAGTGGGGACGGATGGAGCGCGGGCTCCCAGCGCCCCTGCCCCCAAAGCGCAGCCCAAGGTGTGAAGGCAGCCCACCCCCAGCAGGGAAGCGGCAGCCAGGCGGCGCCGGGCCGCATCCTTACCGCAGGACGGAGAAGACGCGCGCCATCTTCCCAATGGCTCGGATCTTGTTCCTGATGATCTCCTTGCGGACGGTCGTCCCACCTTAGGGAGAAAAGAACACGGCCCCAGCATGTCTCACAGCCCCACGGGGGCAGGCAGTGGCAGCACGAAGCTCCCGTCCACCTCCGGGAGAAGAACTGGAGGATCCCGGTCCGGGCAGAGAGAGCGGCGCCAGGGGACACCAGGGAGACGGGACGCGGAGCCGGAGCTGCGCGGAGGGGGGCGGGAGCAGCCGGGGTGTCGCTGTGAAGCTGGCAGCGCTCGGTGGCACCACAAGGGATGGGACACAAAGGGCGCAGCCATGGGACGCAGCAAGGCGGCACTGAGCGCAGACCCGACAAAGGAGGGGGGGGGGAAAAGCATGGAGGGGAACTGAAAACGAACAGAAACCAGAGTCAGAGGGGGAACAAATACATCTCCTCTCAGCTGAGATTCTCCACGTGGCCCAAATACACATCAGGACAGGACAAGGCGAACCGGAGCTCTGACATGCACCGATGGCTCAGCCATGCACTACGTGGCTGCATTCAGAAGTCAGAAACGTGGCCCCGGCCCTCGGGTTCCAGGAGGAACGCGGGAGGGTTAAGGAACCCGGCGCTGTGTTAAAACTGGAGGGGGACGGGCAGGCTGCCCAACTACAGCCAGCTCGGCAAGGCCGCTCGAGGAATCTGGTGGCACAGGCAGTGAGAATTAAGCCGGCAGCGAGTTCTAGCTGGGTACCTTTCTGATAGCTTGAAATGTAGTGATCTTCAGGGAGAGGAGACACCAAGAAACAGGGAGATGGAGACAGAGATAGAAGAAACAAATTTAATCCTCATGGGAAGGGAGGAAGGAAAACAAAACCGAAACACAAAAACACGACAGCAAAACGAAATGCGATGGGAGCGGAGGGCGGCGGCGGAGAGCGGAGCAGATCCAGCCCACCTGCAGCCACAAGCGCACAGCGCTGCGCGGGGCTGCAGCCATGGGGGGGACGGGGCGCTGCTGCGCAGGGTTTTGACCTGGGGGGGGGGAATCAGAGCTGGGGATGCGGGCAGTGAGGAGCGGGAGGCGACGCCAGGGCCGCCGAGGAGCACGGAGCGGAACTGAGCTCCGTTGGATGCGATGGCAAAGTGGGGGGGGGAGAAGAAGAATAAAAACAAAGGCGTCCTACCCCCGGCTGCACACAGAGGGGTGGGATGGCTGCACAGCACCGTGCCCCACAGCCCCGCCTCCGACCCACAGCTCTCACCTTCCAGCGTCTCGTCGCCGTCGGAAATCAGCTCGTCGTCAGAGCAGATGTTGAGGATGTTAACGAGCATCTCGGTGACTGCAACAAGAACAGGGGGGTCAGGGGGCTGCAGGGGAGCTGGGGGGGGGGGCAGAGGGTCGGTCTGCATGTGGTCACAGCAACACAGCAGCTCCAGAACTGAGCAGCACAGGGGGACCGGCAGGGAAAAGCTTTCTGCAGTTATCATGAGAGCTGCACCACCCTGCCCTGCATGGAGCTGTAATGCCTCTGAGCTGCACCACCCTGCCCTGCATGCAGCCCTGAAGCCTCTGAGCTGCACCACCCTGCCTGCATGCAGCCTTGAAACCTCTGAGCTGCACCACCCTGCCTGCATGCAGCCTTGAAACCTCTGAGCTGCACCACCCTGCCCTGCATGCAGCCTTGAAGCCTCTGAGCTGCACCACCCTGCCCTGCATGCAGCCCTGAAGCCTCTGAGCTGCACCACCCTGCCCTGCATGCAGCCCTGAAGCCTCTGAGCTGCACCACCCTGCCCTGCATGGAGCCCTAAAACCTCTGAGCTGCACCACCCTGCCCTGCATGCAGCCCTAAAACCTCTGAGCTGCACCACCCTGCCCTGCATGCAGCCCCAGCCCCACAGCAGCCCCACGTCCCCCCGCTCCCTTTGGGATGGGCTCCCCTTACCCTTCTCCCCCACAAAAGGCAGCGACCACGTGAAGACGTCCATGAAGTTGGGCAGCCAGTAGGGGTGCGGGGAGCAGTTGAACTGCCTGATGTTCATGACGTTGTTCTCGTACTTGAGGACAGCAGCTGGGGGAGAGCGAGGACACAGCGCGCGCTCAGGGCCGCGCCAACGGAGCCCCCGCCGTCGGGACGAGCGGAGCTGAGCAGAGCTGAGCTGCGGGGCTCCTCTGCTCATCCTTTAACGCCGCTTCGTAAAAGCGCCTCGCGGCCGCGTCTGCATGAAGCACAACTGGAGCCGAGCACGGAGCCACGAGCGCAGGGCAGCGCAGCGACTCCCCACGGCGCTCAGGGGGCAGCGGGGCTGCAGCCCCCCCCCCCAGCAGCTCCTCCTTGACGGGATGCACCCAGCGCCACGGAGCATCGCTGCCAACGTGGCGGCGGCCGACGGTGTGAATCGCAGCGCAGCAGCGCAGCACGCAGCTCCTCACCGCGCAGCCAAAAGGGCCCCGGCCGCCCGGAGCCGCCCAGCCTTACCCTTGTTGTTGTAGACGTCCAGGTAATTGGGCGCAGAGAAGATGGTGATTAAGGAGGGAAAGCCCGTGGTCTGGCTCTTCCTGTACATTCGGTACCTGAGGAAGAGGGGAGGCTGAGCGGCGCTGCGCCGGGGCGGCGCGGAGGCGACGCTGCGCACCCAAACCTACCCCGCATCCTGGGCCTCGTGAGCGCGGATTACAGAAAGCAAACTGTTGTTCTGCAAAAAATCACAAACTGCAGGATAACTGGAAAACAAAAGCACACGTGGGTTAACGCAGAGCACAGCAGAGCCGCTCGCAGCCCCGCGGCGCCCAGCTGCCCGGCGCAGCAGGGATCCCAGCACAGAGACGGACTGAAAGCAGAGCCGACCCCGCTGCCGCGCTGCCCCTTCAGCAGCCCGCAGGCAGCACTGCTTCACCTTCAGAGGGGACGGGCTGCCTCCCCGCGCTGCCAGCAGCCCCACTTGGGCACAAGAGAAAACCTTGGGTCCACCCAGGATGGGAGGAACGGCCCCAGCTGGCACAGAGGGGCTCGGGTTGGACGTGGGGAAAAATATCTCGGGAAGAGCGGGGCTGTGAGGGGGCCGCCATCCCTGAGGGCTCCAGAGCACACGGGTGGGTCGGGGTCCTCGCCCACCTCGGCCCGAGGTCCTTTCGCCCCCCACTCACCTATAGAAATAGGAGCAGCCCCGAACGGTGTTGTGGGCAAAGTGCTCCACCGACTTCTCGCTGCCGTAATCCTCCGAGGGGTCGGACCACAGTAGGTCGCACATGGGCCCGAAGGCGGGGGGCTCCTTGAACCTGTCTAACTGAAGGGGGCACGGCGCCTCAGGGCAGCGCCCAGCGCCCAGCGCCCAGCGCCCAGCACCCAGCGCCCAGCGCCCAGCGCCCAGCGCCCAGCGCCCAGCACCCAGCGCCCAGCGCCCACCCAGCACCCAGCGCCCAGCACCCAGCGCCCAGCGCCCAGCGCCCAGCACCCAGCGCCCAGCACCCAGCGCCCAGCACCCAGCGCCCAGCACCCAGCGCCCAGCACCCAGCACCCAGCACCCAGCACCCAGCACCCAGCACCCAGCGCCCAGCACCCAGCGCCCAGCGCCCAGCACCCAGCACCCAGCGCCCAGCGCCCAGCGCCCAGCACCCAGCGCCCAGCGCCCAGCACCCAGCACCCAGCGCCCAGCGCCCAGCACCCAGCGCCCAGCGCCCAGCGCCCAGCACCCAGCGCCCAGCACCCAGCGCCCAGCGCCCAGCTCCCCGCACGTGGCGTCTCCCTACCAAGATCCACGCAGCCCCACGTGGCAGCACCCAGCACCCAGCGCCCAGCGCCCAGCGCCCAGCTCCTCCCTGCATCCGAGCAGGGCTGCACCCCACGGCTTACTTTCCGAATGTCGTCTAGACAGGTGATTTCTGGAGACAGCCCCCCGTGGACGCACAGGAATTGTTGGTTGAGGAGGGCGGCGAGAGGAAGACAGTCGAAGGTGTCCATGCAGGCGTCGTAAACCCGCTCCGAATATTTGATCCGACCTGGGGGGCACAGGGTCAGCGTGGGGCACGGCTGGAAGCGCAGCTCAATGCTGCTGCTCGCAGCCCCTCCTGCAGCCCTGCACAGCTCCCATCCACCCCGACCCGCCGTGCCACTCACACTCCTGCTTGAAGGTGAAATACTCGGTCAGGTGCCTGCACTCGTGGTTCCCTCGCAGGAGGAACAGCGTTTTGGGATGGTTTATCTTCAAGCTCCATAAATACAGCACGCACTGCAGGAAAGGGAAGGAGGGCCGAGCGTAAAACCCCAACGCAGGGGCTCCCGGCTGCGGGCTGCAGCTCAGCTGCTGGGTGGACGCCCAGAGAGGAGCCCTGAGCGCAGCGCAGCCCTACAAGCAGCTGCAGATCCCAGAGCTGCAGCCCTGCAAGCAGCTCCTGCCCTGAATACGAGCAGCCAGCAGAAACGGCGCCGCATGGCCTGAGGTGGCGGAGGGACGCTGCACAGGAGCAGGCAGAACAACGCCGCCATGGGAAGCGCCGAGCTGCAGCTGCGCACCATAAAGCTGAGGTCTGTTTCAGCTTTAATCACCGCACAGGAGGCAGCGAGTTGAAGCCCGGCTAAATTACAGCACGTGCAATTCTTAATTAGCCGGCGCTGGCGCGTCCCGTTGTAATTGGATTTGAAAAAGCGACCCGGCAAAGGTGCACAGCACCACTGCTGCACCTCTGGTGATGCACAGAGAGCGTTGCTGCTCACTGCATTGCTGCCCTCAGAGCCCCGCAGCTCTGAGTTCGGCACAGATCCCTGCTGCAGGAGCGCAAACGCAGCCGTGCAATGAGGCGCAGCTGCTCTGCACGAAGCTCCGTCCCCCTGCAGGGAAGCCCCCAGCCCCACGCTTCCCGCTGCCCCGCGCTGCCACAGGGCAGCCCTCCGTCTGGTTGCAGACATGAGAGCCGTCAGCCCTGTGCTGCCGCACAGCCCAACGTGCAGCTGCAGCTGGGTCCCAGCTGGGCAGCAGCTCAAAAGCACCCTGCAGGGACGCGGCCTTGCTGGGAGCTGCAGACGCGGCTGACAGGGCTGAGCGCAGCCTGCGGGGGTCGGTGCCAAACGCAGCCAGGAGGGGTTTGATGGAACGTAACCTAAGGGGGGTCAGGGTGAAATGCAGCCTCAGGGGGTTCTGCAGGAGATGCAGCTTCAGGGAGGCCTGCATTAAATGCGACCTAAGGGAGGTCGGTGTGACAGCAGCCTGAGGGGGACCTGCGTGACATGCAAGCTACAGGAAGTCAGCGCAAAATGCAGCCTCGGGGGGGTGCATGGAATGCAACCTGAGGGACAGCAGTGCAAAATGCAGCCTCAAGGGGGTGCATGGAATGCAACCTGAGGGACAGCAGTGCAAAATGCAGCCTTGGGGGGGGGTGCATGGAATGCAACCTGAGGGACAGCAGTGCAAAATGCAGCCTCAAGGGGATGCATGGAATGCAACCTGAGGGACAGCAGTGCAAAATGCAGCCTCAAGGGGGTGCATGGAATGCAACCTGAGGGACAGCAGCGCAAAATGCAGCCTTAGGGGGGTGTGCATGGAATGCAACCTGAGGGATGCAACGTGTGCAACGGCCGCCAGCCCCGGGTTCAGCCTCACCTCTATACTGAAGTAGCCCCTGTCCACGTAGTCTCCCAGGAAGAGGTAGCGGGTGTTGTTGGGGGATCCTCCCACCTCAAACAGCTTCATCAGGTCGAAGAACTGCCCGTGGATGTCCCCGCACACTGGGGGGAAGAAGAGCACGCAGGAGGGACGGAATCAACGCTCAGCGAGCGGCAGCGCAGGGCCGCAGCCCGAGCCCAGCAGGACGGACGCGAGGCGTCACAGCGGCTCGGGGGAACCCCGGCACCAGGACCCCGCGGCGCCGTTTGGCCGCTGACCTGTGATGGGAGCCTCCACCTCGATCATGGTCTTCTCGTGCCGCAGGATGGCGGCGCCGTCGTTGATGATCTTCAGGGCCGCGTCCTCCTCCAGGCGGCCCTCCTTCACCAGGTGGCTCTTGAGGACGTCCAGGCGCGGTTTGCCGTCCTCAAACACCTCCTTCAGCGTCAGCCGCTGCGTGGGGGGGAACGGCACGGCTGGGGGGGAAGCGTTGTGTCAGCAGGGCTGCGCTGCAACGCGCTGCAACGCACTGCAACGCACTGCAACGCACTGCAACGCACTGCAATGCACTGTAATGCACTGCAACGCACTGCAACGCACTGCAACGCACTGCAACGCACTGTAATGCACTGCAACGCACTGTAATGCACTGCAATGCACTGCAACACACTGCAATGCACTGCAATGCACTGCAACGCACTGTAATGCACTGCAACGCACTGCAATGCACTGCAATGCACTGCAACGCACTGTAATGCACTGCAACGCACTGCAACGCACTGCAACGCACTGCAACGCACTGTAATGCACTGCAACGCACTGCAATGCACTGTAATGCACTGCAACGCACTGTAATGCACTGTAATGCACTGCAACGCACTGTAATGCACTGCAATGCACTGCAACGCGCTGCAACGCGCTGCAACGCGGGGCCAGGACCTCGAGCGGAAAGGAAGCGCAGGGAGCAGAAGGCTGCGTTGGATGCAGCTCCATCTGTGCCACCTCAGGGATGCAGAGGGCTGAGCAGCCCCGGCAGGACTGAGAGCACGGCTGTGGGGAGCGGGAACTGCGAGCTCCTGCAGCATCCCTGCTCTGTGCTCAGCGAGGGGAAGCGCTGCACCTCGGCTGTTCCACGCCCTGGAAAGGCAGCCTGGAGCCCAGCGGGGTCACCATGCAGCCCCTGTGCAGCTTTCCGCCCGCAGACCCCGGCATGAAAGCTGCAGCTCTCCCTGCACGTCAGGGTCCGTGCAGCAGCGGGGCAGGGAAGGAATGGGGCAGGGGGCGGCCCTGAGCGCTGCAGCGCTGGGGGGAGCAGCAAAGGAAGCCAGAGAAAACATCCCCAGGGCAGGGAACCCCCGGCTCCACAGGGAGGCACCCAGCGCCCGCTGCCCCTCCAGCCCCCTCCCCCCCCCCAGCCCCCAGGGCTGAGGGCACAGCTTAAGTCATTAGCGCCGTCATTAGTGCTGTCAATGTGAGTAATCCCGTTAGCCAGAACTCGTGCTAAGGGCTTTAGGCTGCAAGGAGCTGACACGGATGTCTGCTGCCCGCTCCTCTGCAAGGTGCCCATCTCCTCACCGGGCCACGCAGGCAGTGCAGCAGCTGAGCTCCCCGCGGGACGCAAAGGGCCCAAATGCAGCCCTGCAGCCCCACGAGGACCCCTCTGCTCCCACCTGCACGGCAGCCACAGCGCTTTGCTCTGCACCGAACAACCGCCGCGAGGCTCAGCGGAGCCCAAAGCAGCACAGGGTGCCAAGGGGCCGGCGCGGCTCTGCTGCACAAAGGCCCCCATGCAGCACCCACTGGGCCGGGTTCGCCGCTGCAGGAGCTGCTCCCGGTGCCTGCGAACCCCTGCATGGGGAGCACGGCTTGTTTACGCACCGCACGGCCGCCGGGACGTCTGCACCGAGCAGCAGGGCTGCATTCATGACTGAAAAAGGAGCTCCGAGGGCCGGGGTGGCTGCTGGAAGGTGCTGCCCTGCACGGCACTCGCACAGCACCCAGCCGGCGCCGAGCTGCCACCCGCGCGGCCACACGGACGCAAAGGCAAAGCAGGGTGCGGGGGGTCGGGGGCCAAAAAGGCCCTTTTTGGTGCCCTGGGGCCGTGCTGGAGGTACAGGCAGCCCCCGCACACCTGGATGCCGGGCTCGGGAGGCAGAGGGACCTCGTGGAGCTGCGCCCCCGCTGCTGGGGGCAAAGGGCGCCCCCCGCATCGCCTGCGGATGCTTCGCTGCCAGCGCCTTCAGCGCCGCTAATTGCACTAATTGCGCTAATTGCGGGAGCTCGCGGCCCCCTTGCTGGATGCAGAGCACACTGCAGGAGCGGCTGCCAGCAGCGGGGGCAGCACACAAAGCGCTCCGCGGTGGGACAGCTGGGCTCCATAGGGCCAACCCTGCGCAGCTCCACGAGCTGCAGCCTGTCGTAAAAGCGAGCTGACCGAGGGATGGGGGAACCCTGAGCCGCAGCACCTGCTCCCGCAGCACAGCGAGCTGCCAGGGCTCTGCCAATGGCCCCAGCTGCAGGCCCTCCCTCCTTCCTGCTGCTTCACGGCACCCAGCGCCACGCGGCCCCGGCAGGGAACACCTGGAGCGTGGAAGGATCCCAACTCAGATCCCCAGGGAACGTCTGCAGATTAGCGGGCAGCTCTGCCCCCACAGGGACCCCGGGATTTACCTAAATAGCTTCTGCAGCTCGCTGCTCAGGGCTATTTTAAGCCAGCACCCTGCCCTACTTCCCCCAGCGCGGCGGAGCTCAGGGCGCTGCTGGACACAGCGGGGCTCAGCGGCCCCACGCTGCTCTCAGAGGGAACAACAGGGGCTGCAGGGCTGCACTGAGCACCAGGAAACAGAGGAAGCGCCGCCCTGCACTTCTGATTCATTTCTGGATGAAGCACTGCGTGACCCCCGAGCTGAGCGCCCGTCCCGCAGCCCCACGGGGCTCCCGCCGCACAGGGGCTGCCGAGCACCCATGGGTGCTGCTCTCAGGGCCGGCCAACCCAAACCTCCCAGCCGCACGCAGGCGCACCGCTGCCCCGTGCCCCCACTCGCTTTTTCCAGCCCCGCTCTGCGCCTCTGCCCCAGCAGCACCCAGCGCTGACAGCACCCAGCGCTGACAGCACCCAGCAGCACCCAGCGCTGACAGCACCCAGCCCATCAGCTCCAAAGCGCCGGCAGCAAACAGGACACAGCAGCCACGGCCCTGCAGCCACTGCTGTGAGCTCCGCTGCTGCTTCTTCCTCCCAACGGCCACGGTGCTCCCTGCACCCCTGAGCCGCACACAGCCACAAACCCACGGGGAAAATGGGCTCCGCAGCTGCGCCCGAAGCAACGCAGAGCCGCGCGGCTCCTCGTCCTGCGCTCCTCCTGCCCACAGAGCTGCTCTGCTCCGCTCCACGACGCATTGCACACACAGGGGTGCTGCCCTGCCCGGCTGCACGCAAAGCAGCCCTGCAGCCCTGCTTGCGACCGCTGCAGCACGACAAACCCTTGGCTCCACGGCCCCTCGTCCGCCTGCAGGAGGGCTTCAGCGCAGCTGGGGGGGCGCAGCGGCGCAAAGGGACCCTGCGGCTCCGCGCGCTGCTGCGGCTCCCAGCGCCCCAAAAGCGGAGATCTGGGTCACAAAGTCACCAAGTTTGGGTGCGAGGCCAAAGCAAACAGCAGCGCTGCTTCTGCCGACTTAATCACAGCTGCCGCTCCTGCGGGGCTCTGGAGGTATGTAGGTTAACGGTGCTTAAAACTCCACGTCCTCCTTCACCGCAGGCACCGAACGGAGCAGAGCTGCCTTTTATCTCCGGGTTTCGTTTATTCAGAACCCCAAAAGACGTCAGCGGCGCTGAGCAGGGGAACCCAGCCGAGCCCAGAGCTCCCAGCCGGTCCTGAAGGCAGCAACCCGCAAGGCAGCAGCGGCCGCCCACCCCGAGGGCCCCACGCCACCCCACCGCGCGCCGCCTTCGTTAGAGACCACGTTTAATTAAGACGCCACGCGCGTCTGACCACACGATGGGCTGAAAGGAGGAGGAGAGGTGGGGTGGCGTCCACCCATGGGCCGTGCGATGGGAGCCCACTCCCAGCCTGCAGCCCCGTACCTTAACGAACTTCTCGTTAGCTGCTTCTTCAGAACTGCTGGGGAGGGGGGCACCCCCCCCCCCCGATAGAACTGGGGCACAGGGATCTCACCCCCCTCCCTCGCACTGAGCACCGCCACGCTGCCCCCCAACCCACGGGGGTCCCATTCACTCCCAGCCCCCCCCCACAAAGCAGGGATGCCGCCCCCCGCCCCACTGCCACCCACCCGACCCCCCCCGGCCCCAACGCACAGCACTCGCCCCAGCACCGGGGCTGCCCCCGAGCCTCAAATCCGCCCTCAGCCCTTCAGGTGCCTTTAATACGGAAATGCCGCCCCCCTCTCCTCCTTCTTCTCCACTTTACGTTCTGCCTTACAGCCCCCAGCCTCAAAGACACGCGCCCCCCCCCCGCCCGGGACCCTCCCCACCCCAACCCTTTCCCCACAGAATCACGAGAAATTCCCCAATAACCAAGCGAGCCCCCCCCCAAACCCAGGCCTGGCCCCCCCGCACAACAGCGGCCCAAACCAGGGCTGCTCCCCTAAACCAGGGACGCCCCCTCCCCTTTTTCCCCACCCTTCCCCACAGCCCCGCGCCCTCCACGCCCCCCCACGCCGGCAGGGGGCGCCCTCCCCTGCCCTGCCCTGCCGTCGCAGCCCCTCACCCTTGACGATGCGCTCTGTGGTCGGCAGTTTGTGGTGCCCGCGGCCCGACATGTTGGCGGCGCTACCGCCGGCCTCCCCCCCTCCCCTCGCCGCGAAAGGAGGGGGCCGCGGGTGCTGCCGGCGGCGGAGCGGCCTTCGGGATCCGCTCGGTGCCTCGAGCGGCGGCTCCCCGCCCCTCCCCCCCTCCTCCGCCTACCGCGCACGCGCCGCCCCTCCCCGCCGCCCCGCGCCTGCGCGCGAGGTCACGTGCGCGCTCCCCTGTCTCTTCCGGCCGCCATCTTGGACGGGCAGGGCCGTTGCTAGGCGACGCGCGGCCCGGAGCGGAGCGCGGCCTGCTGGAGGTGCGGCCTGCTGGAGGCCCGGCCTACTGGAGGCCCGGCGCCGTGCCCGGCCCTCAGCGCGTCCCGCGGCTCGGCCCGCGGCTCCTTCCCCGCCGGGGGAGGGACAGATCAAGGCGAGAGACCGCACAGAACTTAAAAATAAAACCTTCGCCGCGCCCTTCTGGCAGCGCAGATGGGGAAACGGAGCGCGGGGAGGAGCGACGGGAGGGGAGGAGGGTGGAGGCCGGGGGCGACGCCAGGGGTCTGCAGCAAAAAGGGGAGGGGGCCCAAAGCAGGGAAAGAGCCGAACCCCCCCACCCCCCTCCCCCCCAGCGCTGGGGTCAGGGAGCAGAATCGCGTCCTCGCTGCAGCCGTTTTCCTGTTTTTATTTTGAGGGTGTTTGTGCCGAGATCGGCTTCCGAGCAAGGAGCTCCCGCTGTGAAAAGCAGCGGAAAGCGGCCTGGAAAGGCAAAATGGGGGGGGTTCCTTTTTCCTCTCCATGCAGGGGGGCGACGGCACGAGTCCGGGGAGAGGAGCGCAGCGCCGAGCATCGCGAGATGCCGAGGGCAACGCAACGAAAGGAGGCAGAAAAAGGAGTTTGTTCGACTTGAAGGCGGCCCAGCAGCGGGGGGCGGGGAGGGGACGCAGCCCCGGCCCCTGGGAGAAACGGGAGCTGTGAGCGCCGCCGTCCCGTCGTTACGGAACATCGTTTATTGGTGGAGCCGTACAAAGGACTTTGCAGCTCGCGCAGCACCGCGTTACGCTCCTGGTTTTCGACAACACCTGAGTTATAAAATACTGAGATGGGGCCTGAGCTGCTGCTGGGCGCCGAAACGACGGGACAAATCCAAAGTCAGTGCCGTCCAAAGGCTGCAGCTCCTCCCACCGGCCCTCGGCTGAGGGGGGCGTCTCCTCCCCCCCAGAACACCCAGAAACCAGGAGCATCCCTTCGGGACGGGGGGCTGCCCTCTGCAAGGAGCTCCTTCCTCCAGGGCTGCGCGGATGGGCTGCAGACGTCTCGAGCCAACGGGCAAAACACGGGATTCAACACGAGATGAGGACGCGGACTCTCCGTCCCCACTGCAGAGTTGGTTCTCAGCTCCGTGGGACGCAGGGGACCCCCAGCGCTGCGGTGCTCGGGCGCAGCCCAAAGGTTTTCCCTGCTCGCCTCCAGCACGAAGGCTTTTCCTTGGCCCCGCTCAGCCCCGGGGTTCCGGCGCTGCCCTCAGCCCCAGCAGCAGCAGCACAGCGCTTTCCAAACGCTGCCTTGAGGGGGCAGGCAGACCCCATCCCTCCGAGGAGTTTTTGCACACCGCCTCGCTGAGGCTGCGGGGGCACGGAGCTTTTCCTCCCTCCCAGCTGCGTCGCTGCTGACTTTCCACCCGGCGCCCATCCTGCGAAGGTGCCACGCGGGCCAGGGCCGCCGCCAAGGCTCCCGGCTCCAGCTCTGCTGTTCGACCTGCTGGCCGCCCGTGGGACAAGGCAGCGGCTCCCCGAGCTGCTGGAAGCACAGCGGCGCTGCAGGACGGCGCCGTGCCGCTGCTCTCAGGGTGAGCAGCTGGGAGGTGAAGCGGAACCGCGGTGCCCCCGTTCCTTCCGACACGGGTGGAAGATTTTGGAGAGCCTCGGCTCCGACCCGCAGCGGCTGAACGCGCAGCGCTCCGTCACACGGGCGGGGAGCAGCGGAGGCGCTCAGCACAAAGCACCTCAAGTTCCATTTCCGTCCCAGTTCCCACGGGGGGCTCCACGTCCACGAAGCCCCGCTGCCGGCGGGGGTCGAGGTGTGGGGGAGGAAGGGGCGCGAGGCATCGCAGGGGCGGGCAGCGCCATCAATGTGATAACGGGCCGATTCAGCCCGGGAGCGCGGAGGCAGCGCTGCGCTGCGCCTCCAGCGCCACCGTGGCTCCTCCAGGGGCCGGCAGTGCGCAACCCGCGGAGGTCCGCGGTCTCTTTCCTTTCTCTGGGTTTTTTTTAGGAAAAAAAAACAACAAAAAAAAAACCACCAAGGCGCCCCTCCTCCCCCAGCACCTCTGCGCCTCAGCAGCAGCGTTTAAAAGCGGCCTCTGCTCCCCGCTGTTTGCTCGCACTGCGCGCTGCGGGCTGCGGCTCGCTGCCCTGCTCTGCGCTCTGCCCTCCTTGCTCCCAGAGCAGCGGCTTCGTTTTGCTCGCAGCAGCAGCACTTTGCATCGCACTGCAGCTCCGGCCGTGCGCGCCGTGCTTTGGTCTCCTCCGCTGCGAGCGCCGCCACCCGCAGCCATAGAACAGCCCCCTTCCTGCTCCTCCTCGCCCCGGGCAGAACGGAGCAGAGCAGCTCCAGGGCCGGTTGTGGGGGCAGCAACAAGAGGCTCGAGTGGCGAACGGCGCTCACGGAGCCTCCGCAGCTCCTCTGCTCCCACGGCCGCCCTCGGCCCGGCGCCGCTCCGAGGATCTCCAAGCGCTGATGGGCGCCCGTTCCCCGCCTCTGGGCGCCCGTTGGTTCCGAGCGGCAGCGGGCAGCTCGCGTCCAGCGCCAGCCCCGCGTCACCGCGTGGCGCGGCTCCCAGACCGACGGGCAGCGGCGCAGCTCTGCGCCCCGACTCCGTCCTTCCCCCGAGCCGCGAGGGCAGAAGGAACGCGGTGCTGAGATGCCGGGCTCGGCTCCGTCCTGTGGCGCGGGGGCCACAGCCTGGCGCTAACGGGGAGCCCGTGGAAAAGCTTTGGAAGCAAAGCCTCTTCTGTAGCGTTCCGTGACGCCAGCGCCTGCACGGCCACCGACGGATGTTTGCAGCAGGAAAAGGAAAGAAAAAACTCCCCCCAACCCCCCCCCCCAAAATAAAGGGAAAACTGGCGCAGGGCTCCGCCGTGGGCCGGCCTACCCGATGCGGATCTGCCCCGAGTACATGGTGAGCAGCACCATGATGCTGAAGCCCGTCAGCAGCCCCGCGTTCTGGATGGCGAAGGTGACGAGCGCGCTGCCGTTCTGCTCGTCCTCCCGGCTCACCTCGTTCATCTCGGGGAACTGAGGGCACAGAGGGGGGCGCTGAGCGGCTCGGCCCGACAGCAGCGCAGCCCCTGCGCCCAGCGCGGCCCGGCACGCACCATGTCGGCCAGCGCGATGTACAGGAACATCCCCCCGGCCAGGGCGAAGATCCAGTTGGCAGAGAAGTGGCTGCCGGCCACGATGCCGAAGGCCAACCCCACGTAGCAGCAGCAGGCCGAGATGAAGTTGAAGAAGAGCGCCTGGCGGATGGTCATGCCAGCATTCAGCAGGATGACAAAATCCCCTGCGCGGAGAAGGACGGGAGGATGAGGAGGGGGCCGCGGCTCTGCCACAGCGTTGGCACGAGGCCGAATCGCCCCCAGCGTTCCGAGAGCTCCGAGCCTCCCTGGGGGCGGCGCTGCGACGTGAGCTGAGCAGAGGAGCGCTGGCTGCCGGCCCCACTGCTGGGCGCTGCCTGCGCCGCCCGGCCCCAAAGCAGCCCTGCAGCGAGCCAACGGCGCTGCTGTTTTCCTTCGGGTGTCTCCATCTAAATTTAACCCCCACACATCACGTTACCTCGATATTTTTAGTGCTGCTGCTGCTCACGGCAGTTCACAGCCCTCACCGCCTGCCCTCCCACCGGCACCGTGTTTATCCCAGCCCACCTTCCTCCTCCACCCGAGGAACAACGGGAAGACCAGGGAAGGGCTGGGGAACTGTGGAGGACTGGGGGCATCCCGAGGGACTGGGGAAGTGCCGGGGTGTCCGAGGGGAGCTGGGGCATCCTGGAGGACCGGGGGAAATGTGTGGGACCAGGGGCATCCCGAAGGATGGGGAAGTGCTGGGGCATCATGGAGGAGCAGGGAAATCCTGGAGGACTGGGAGCATCCCGAGGGACTGGGGAAGTGCTGGGGCATCCTGGAGGACTGGGGGCATCGTGGAAGACCCAGGGAATTGTGTGAGACCGGGGGCATCCCGAAGGACCGGGGAAGTGCCGGGGCATCCAGGAGGCGCAGGGAAATGCTGGAGGACCGAGGACCGCCTGGAGGACCACAGGGAAGCCTTGCGGAGGGCAGCGCCGAGGACGCGCTTCCAACATACCCAACTCGTGCGGGAACTCCTCGCAGAGGATGGCCACGGAGGTGCTGATGCCTTGGAAGACCGACACGGTGAAGGAGGCCCCGATGGCCAAGCCGTCGATGAAGTTGTGCAGCCCGTCGCTCAGGGTGATCATCCAGGCCAGCGTGCCGATGTCGGAGTAGCGCACCTCCTTCAGCCAGTAGCAGGCGCTCTGCGAGGCCTGCAGGTCCTGAAAGCACCACGGGCCGCGGCTCAGCACCGCGCGGATCCGCGCCGCCCCCGAGGGCCGACGTGCGCAGAACCTGGAACCGGGCGGCCGCACTTCCGCCAACCCCAGGGCGCTCGGCCGAACCGGGCGCCGAGAGCCCGAACCCCGCGGGACGGGGCGCCAACCTGGACGCTCAGCGATCCCACCACGACCTTCCCGTCGCCAGCAGGGCTCTTGCACTCCATCTCGCTGCTGACGTGCGGGATCATGCGGTCCAGGTCCCCGTTCTGCAGCTTCTCGGTGACGCCTTCCTCCCGGTCCTTCCTGGAGGGCAGAGCCTCGGCGCCGTAGTGGCTGTGCCCGTGGTGGTGCTGCACACGGAGGCACAGCGTCAGCCGCCTCGGCTCTGTGCCGTTTCCCACCCCGGTGTTTTGCCGTAACGCCAACCGGGGCCCCGGACGGAAACGGCGAGAGCCGCGACAGAACGGCGCCACCAGCGTTGTGCATGGAAGCCAAGGCAGGGGGAGCGAGCGGCGAGCGGCGACCTCACCGGGTCCTTCTGCTTCAGCAGCATCTTCAGGATCTTCTCCGTGAAGAAGAACAGGTAGAAGCCCCCGAACACCACGGCGGATTTGGAGACGTAATAATCTTCTTGAGGGTTGAAGCCGAACGCCTGAGGGCGGAAAGGACGCGTGAGAGCAGGGAGGAGCTGCGCGTCCTCCCCCTGCCCTCGCCCTGGGGTCCCGCTGCTGCTTTCCCAGCTCGCCCCGTCTGCCCCGCGGCTCAGGGCTCCTCCCGACCCGACCTGCCCTGGGCACTGATGCCGTTCGCAGGCTGAGACGCCTGCGCGCAGGGCTGCGCTCACGGAGTCGCCGCGGCCGGACGAGACCCCCGGAGCGCCCCCAGCAGCGCCGCCCGTGCGAAGGGCCCCCGGTTGCTGCCTGGCGGCCCCAGAGAGCAGCCCCGCATCAGGAGGGCCGGCGGCCGCAGGCGCAGCTCCTGCCACCAACCCGCGTCCCCGCAGCCCAGGCCGTCCCCGTACCTCGGGAATGAGCTGGAAGAGGGCGTTGGAGTAGAGAGTTCCAATCGCCAGAGCTATGAAGTAGAGGAGCAGCCGCTTGTAAAATGTCTTCTTCATGAAGGGCACCACGCTGGCTCCCACCAGCGAGCACAGGGAGATGACGGTGACGCAGAGGAACCCGTAACCCCAGACTGCGGCGTGCCAACCCACCCCAGGAAACGGGACGGGGGAAGGGAGATCAGCGTGGGGGAGGGAGGGGGCAGAAAGGAATCCACACCGAGAGGAGAGAGAGAGAAGAAGACATTCATTAGCGATTGCTTCCATTGGCGCAGGAGGGGCGGCCCGGGGCCGAGCAGCGCCGGAGCGGCTCCGCGGGGAGGAACCGGAGGCGGAGCCCCGAGCGGGCGGCCAGGACGGCGGCGCGACGCCCGGCGCTTCGGGCCCGAGCCCCGCAGGGCCGCCGCTCCAACCGCCCCGCGCAGCTCCGTCCTCAGCCCCGGGCCCCCCGGGCAGCAGAGAGCGCGGCGCTGCGTCCCGCGGTCGGTTGTGGAGTTGGAAAGGAGCGCCGAAAGCCTCGTGGCGTGCGGGGCGCCATGCGCTGCTCCGCAACGGCCCGGCTGTGGGGCTGCGGCTGTGCAGAGCGCGTCCTGAGCGGCGCCGGGCCGAGGGGCGGCTGCCGGCAGCGCTGCTGTAACGCAGCACGGGGGGCTGCGCCACGACGCGTGCGTTTGGAGGAGCCCGATCCGAGCCCAACTCCAGAACCGAGCCGCTGCAATTACAGCCCAATTAACTTCGCGATGCGTCGCTCAGATCCGTCCGAGCACCGGGAAACCTGGTGCCAGCAAAAAGCCACCGTAAAGCAGCGGGAAGGACAGCGAGGGGTCGGCGAGGCTCGGGGCGATGCTGCCGCCCCGCTTCCACGGCCCCGAACCTCCTCTGCACGGCACTCGGCGCGGCCCCGGAGCTCGGAGGGTCGGAGGAAGCCCGCGGAGCCCCGCTGCGCCATCGGCTCAGGGCGCGGGGATGGCGTGGATTGGGGGGGGGGGGGGCAGAGGAGACCCGGAGAGCAGAGCCGCCCTCGGACAGGAGAGAGGCGGAGACGTTCGACCGCACCTCTGGGATGAGCTGGAAGAGCGCGTTAGAGAGCAGCGTGCCGATGGACAGCGCGATGAAAAACGTGAGGACGCGGCTGAAAAAGGCCTTCTGGGTGCAGGGGACGATGAGGAGGCCGAGCAGCGAGGCCACGTTTATCATGGACACACTGAGAAAACCAAAGCCCCACGCTGCGGAACGAGAAGAAACGAGGGGCGGGCATTACCAGGGCTGGGGGGGAGAAGGGCGAGGCTCCGGGGCGTCGCTCCCCGCGTCTGAGCGCCACAGCTCGGCCGTTTTAGGGACGGATCCACCCGGCCCAGCTCCGGGCTGCCGGGGAAGAGATTTCCCGAGCCAGCGGAGCGGCAACGAGCAGCGCTCAGCCGGGGCTTCGGGCACCAGCGGGACGCGGGAGCTCAGGAGCCGCACGGGGCAGCCGGGGATGGGGGCCGATCCCAGCAGCGCCGCCGTCCGCCCAGAGACCCCCGTCCGCCCGCGGGCCTCACGGCAGCTCCATCCCAGCGCCGCGCTGCGGCTCCAACGCGCACCGAAAGCCGAGCGCGGAGCGGCGCCGCGCCGAGGAGCGGGGCGGGAGGACGCGACCCCGGAAGGGACCCCCGGGCCCCACCTTCAGCCGAGCTGGGTCTGCTCTCCTCCGTCTGCTCGTTCTCCTCGTTCTCCAGGTTCTCGGCAGCGCACGCCGCCGACTCGAGCTGCTGCAGGACGGCGGGGCAGAAGGCGCGCAGCTCCGCGGCGCCCAGCACGGAGCCCTCGCTCAGGTTGTGCGCGGCGAACAGCTCGGCCGAGCTGAAGCACTGCGGGGGGACGCGGAGGACGAGGCGTGAAGGCGAGGCGGCGGGGCGGCGCCCGGCGCGGGGGGAGCTCGGCTTACCTGGGACACGTTGGCGCGGGGCTGCGAGCCGTTGCCGCGCCCCACTCCCACGTCCAGGCGGTTGAGCAGCGCCTTCAGCTGCTCCAGGCTCAGCGCTTCGCCCTCCCCGTAGCGCCGCAGGAGATCCTGCAGGAACGACGCGGCCGACAGCGGGGGGAGCAGCGCGTCGCCGCCCGCCGGCACCCAGCGCAGGGACAGCAGCAGCAGCAGCGGCAGCGCGGCGGGGCTGGGCATGGTGCGAGCTGCGGGGGGACGAACGCGCTGTGAGCTGCGGGGGGACGAACGCGCTGTGAGCTGCCGCGCCGTGCTGTAGGAGCTCCCGTCTGCCGTCCCGGTGCCCGAGGAGCACAGAGCGGCCGTCCGGCATCGGGAGGCGGCAGCGATGCGCAGCTGAGACCCCAGCCCTGGGTACGGCAGAGGGGGCTGCACTGAGCGCCCGGTCCGGGAGGACGGACAGACAGACATGGGGACAGCTGGACGTGGGGACAGATGGACACAGCGCTCCCCCCAGCAGCAGGATTAGGGTTAGGGGTAGGGTAGGGTTAGGCTCACCGTGCCGAGCAGCAGGACGCGGCTGTGGTGGGGCTGCAGCTCCAGAGGCCCTGAGGGAGAGAAGAGCCCCGCTGGGAGCGATGCCGGCCCCAACGCTCCGCCGGCGCCGCGCGGGGATGGGTGCGGGGTGGGTGCGGGGTGGGTGCGGGGCCCTCAGTGCCACGGGCGGCCCGTCCCACACCCACACGGCCGGCACTTCCAACGGGTTTTCCTTTGACCCCGATTCTGGCGGCAGCCCGGCGCTCCCCGCCCCGCCGTCACGCCGCGATCCTTTGCCCTCTCCGCTCCTTTCACGAACGCCGCGGCTCGACCGGAGCGCAGCGCTGCGGGGCTGCGACGGATTTGGGATTCAGCAGGAAAAGCGCTCTGCCCCAACGGCGCCGCGCCGCGCCCGGCCAAACGCTCCGCATCGAGGGGGTCCCAAAGCAGAGCGGTGCCCGGTGGGGGTCCCGCGTCTCGGGACACGGAGCGGCTCCGGGGCTGCTCACACGGAGCGCTGCGCAGAGGTTCGCTGAGGCAAAGTTACGGCACCGCAGCCGCGGGGCGTTACTGGGGTGACCCCCTGCACCCCCACCCCGCGGCACCCCGCAATGACGGCACGCAGCTCTGCACCCATGGGGCGCAGCGTCCGCACGGCCCCCCCGCACAGCATCCCCTGTGACCCCACGCAGCACCGCCACGGCTCGACACGCGGCACTTCTATGGCCCGACACGCAGCATCCCGCACCCCCAGCGCGTCCTGCCCCGCTCCACGCACGGCTGCTGCTGCTGCCGGGACCCGCCGCCCCCGAGCGGCCCCATCGGTTACGGCTGAGCGGCCGAACGATGCCCTGAGGCCGGGACGGGGCAGCCGGGAGCCCCGCAAACCCCGCGGCGCCCCGCAGCGCAGCCCCACATCCACATTCCCGCCGGATTTTACGGGTTTTAGGGGCTTAGGGCCGCTTTGCAGAGCTTTATTCCCCTGCAAGGCGCCCGCCCGTTCCGTTCAGCCGACTCGGCCGGCCGACCCCGCGGGGCTCCGCTTTTAATCCCTCCGCTGCCAAACGGGGACGCGGCACCGCGGTGACCCCCGGCT